GCTTATCTCTGCTTACCCTAAGCAGAAAATGCTCATCTTCGAACTCCATCAAGGCATTGACCTAATAAACACCTACACCAAGTTTGAACATTCTAGGTCAATTAGAATGAGAGTTATTGTGTTCCAAAGTCTCGACCAATCAAATTGCTTATCACTCTGCTTACCCTGAGCAGAAAATGCTCATTATCAAACTTAGTCATGGTATTGATGTAATGGAACTATACACCAAGTTTAAACACTCTCACTTAATTAGAACTAAAGTTATCGTGTCCCAAAGCATCAACCAATCAAATTGCTTATCTCTGCTTACCCTAAGCGGAAAATGCTCATCTTCGAACTCCATCAAGGCATTGACCTAATCAACACATACACCAAGTTTGAACATTCTAGCTCAATTAGGAAGAGAGTTATCGTGCCCCAAAGTATCAACCAATCAAATTGCTTATCTCTGCTTACCCTAAGCGGAAAATGCTCATCTTCGAACTCCATCAAGGCATTGACCTAATAAACACATACACCAAGTTTGAACATTCTAGCTCAATTAAAAGTTATCGTGTCCCAAAGCATCAACCAATCAAATTGCTTATCTCTGCTTACCCTAAGCGGAAAATGCTCATCTTCGAACTCCATCAAGGCATTGACCTAATCAACACATACACCAAGTTTGAACATTCTAGCCCAATTAGGAAGAGAGTTATCGTGTCCCAAAGCATCAACCAATCAAATTGCTTATCTCTGCTTACCCTAAGCGGAAAATGCTCATCTTCGAACTCCATCAAGGCATTGACCTAATAAACACATACACCAAGTTTGAACATTCTAGCTCAATTAGGAAGAGAGTTTTTGTGTCCCAAAAAGTGTGACGGACAGACAGACGGACAGACAGACGGACAGACAGACGGACGAACCCATTTTAATAGTCCCCTGCTTTCTTCGAAAGGCGGGGGACAATTAAACTATTACAGTGTCTATTATATATTCGCCAACACTTCCAAATTTGAGATACGACATTTTGGAATAAAACATTTGGAAAAATAATTTACGACATACGAAATTTTGACGTAATTTAATATTTACATTTCAGAATGAAAAGAAGATTTTAGAGATGTCTCAACGGCCTTTACTACCATTGTCTCGGGGGAAAATGATTCTTAAACTTGCTAATGCCAATTCTAACAACATAGGTTTGTCTTTAGAAAGACCACCAATAGCTAATAAATCACATGAAGGTAATATAGACAGAAATGGTAAACAACAGAACATAACCAACAACCACAACAAACCAGCCCATTTAGATGAAAATTCTGGATCAAACATTGAAAATTCTGGATCAAACATTATTGAAAATTCTTTCAAAACATCACCTCTGGTATCCGATGATAATGCTCAAACCATTGTTAGTTTAGAAGATATTGTGGTCGAAGAGGATATTGGTGAAATTAGTATATCTGATATAGGAGATATTGGTATAGACTCAATTATAACCAGCATAATTGAAGCACCGCCCGAAAAGGAAACAGCAACCATAGAGTTAGATTATTCTGCAAATGATAAAGTTGTCTCCAAACCGAGTACTAGTACATGTAGTACACAAAATATTAAACAATGCCACAAGAGAAATCCTGAAACTGATCTTACTGATGTGTATATTGAGCCGGATATAATTATTAAACAACCAATGGTAAACAGGGATGGACTAATAGAAGAAATGGATCTTGATGACTCCGTGAAAGATCCGGATTGGCAACCTGACTCTGGCACAGAAGAAGATGAAGATGGAAACAGTGATGATATACATGTAGGAACTGGCGAGAAGAGACGTACTTCAGATGATAAGAGTTTTTACTGGAAGAAAAAGGTTAACAAGCGTTTAAGGATGGAAGGAAAGAAGCATAAAGGATTAACTGAAGTAGATGGACAGTAAAAATTTAAAATTGACAGAGAAGAAAGAAAACTGAGACCAAGGGAGTGTACAGACAGGTGCGAGAAACTTGGACGGAAATGTAATGAAATAAGTGAAGAATCAAGAGAGGGGTTTTTCAAGGGTTTTTGGAATATGAATTGGGAAGAGAAAGGGGTCTATGTATGTGGATTGGTTGAAAGGGGAGAGGTAAAGGAAAGAACGACCGAGGGGGAGAGCAGACGACAAAGTTCATTTAAATATTATTTGAAATATAATAATCAACGATATCAAGTGTGCAAATCCATGTTTTTGAGCACACTCTGTCTTGGAGAAAAGACTGTTTACCAGTGGAAGGCGGACTGTAATGAGTATGGAATACCAGCCAAATTTCCAGACAACGCAATTTCAAAACCAGCACGTTCTACACTAAAGCCAAAGGGTGATACTGCCAGAGATTTTCTCAACGACATCCCTAAACTACCGTCCCATTACTGTAGATCAACAAGCACCAAACTTTATTTGGAACCCACATTTTCAACAAGAGCCGATATATATAAGGTGTATAGAACCTATTGTGCATCTAATAACATAACAGTTTGTGGCCGTAAATTATTCTTTCAGGTTTTTGACGAAATGAATTTGTCATTATATGTACCCAAGAAAGATCAGTGTGATACGTGTATTGCTTATCAAACCAAGAACATAAGCGAAGAGGAGTATAATTTGCACATTGAGAAGAAAGAAGCTGCCAGAGATGAAAAGGGTCGAGATAAAGAAAGAGCCTTAGAAGATAAATCGTTATTAATGTTAACATTGGATTTACAGGCTATTCTCATGTGTCCAAAGTTAGAGGCTAGTGCACTCTACTATAAAACTAAGTTAGGGTGCCATAATTACACTATTTTCAATGTAGCCACTCGTCAAGTTAAATGTTACTTCTGGTTTGAGTCAGAGGGAGACCTTACTGCCAACTCATTCGCTTCCTGTTTGTCTGATTATCTAGAAGTGGCCATTGATGATTCAATCACGGTAGTTATTATATACACAGATGGCTGCACATATCAAAAGAGAAATCTAATTGTATCTCAGGCTCTTCTACCGCTTTCTCGAAAAAAAAATATTGTTATTACTCAGAAGATTCTTGAAAGGGGTCACACACAAATGGAGTGTGACTCCATTCACAGTGTCATTGAAAGAGCAATAAAACAAAAGCCAATCTATTCACCTCAGAACTACGTGGATAAAATCCGCGAAGCTAGACCCAAACAGCCCTATGAAGTGGAATTTCTCACTCACAAGTTTTTCAAGGAGTACTCCAAGCTAAAATACTATAACTCAATAAGGCCAGGAACCGGACAGGAGAACCAGTAGTCACTGATTTACGAGTTATAAGATAATCCAGATGGAGTTATTGAGTATAAATTAAATTATGGTGACGAGTTTTCCCCCTTACCAAGGAGAGCCAAGATAGGAGAACCCTCACCACTTGATGAAGTACCTCAACTTCACGAAGATCCTCTACCAATCAAGAAGAAAAAGCATGGCCACTTGCAGGACTACCATACATTTTATGATAATTTACCACATGAAAACTGATTTGGTTTAATTACATGTTTAACAATTACAGAATTGTGTTACAAGTTTTAGTTTGTGTTGGTTTTAATGTATTATTATAATAATAAATATATTAAACAACATACTCTCCGGTTTTTTTCTGTCTGAATTAAAAACCAACAGAGACTGGGGGAAACAATAAGGTTTGTGTTCTATTAATGGAAACGTAAATTTTGACTTAATACCCACTTTGATACCTCTCTACTTACCTAAAGCCTTGTATCCCTAAATATGCACTCATGTAAACACTCATTCTCTGACCCACCGACATCCCAAATTACTTATAACCAACCTATATCAATAAACTCACCCATGAACTCACCCATCCGCTCAGAAACTCATCCATTCGCTTTGTAACTCACAAACCCACTAACCTGCTTTGTAACTCACCCACCCACGCAGAAACTCACTAACCCGCTTTGTAACTCACCCACTCACTCAGAAACTCACTAACCCGCTGTGTGTGTAACTCATCCACCCAATCAGAAACTCACTAACCCGCTTTGTAAATCACCCACCCACTCAGAAACTCACTTTGTAACTCACCCACCCATCCACCCACTTACTCAGTAACTAACTCACCGCGTAGTATTTGATCAATTTATCCAGTATCACGCCCATCAGTTCACAAATCCACCCACTCAGTAACTCATCCACTCTCCAAGATTCGTGATTGTGCTTTATTAAAATAATCTTTTATTGGTCCAACAACTTTCAGAAACTCGTATCTCATTTTTTTTAATATAGTAGAGATACGAATATCGTATCTCATTCATTTTGGAGAAAAAAATTCTTTAAAATATCGTATCTCGTTTTTTTAATTTGGTGTTATAGGTACATGCTATACACTCATACACCCTTGAAGGTAGTCTTATTTAGCATGTATTATATCGAAGGAACCATTCAATCCGCCAGTTATTATTAGATCTGTAAAGTTTTTTGTGTCTCCTGAAAAGTAGCAAAATTCGAGATACGAGATTTTGGAAGCGCAGCGACGATATATATAAATAGGAATAGAGAATACATAATAATTGGAATGGCGTATGGAATAGGAATGGCCGATATCATTTATATTAAGGGACTATAACTTTGAATGGGATTATGATTATAATTAACAGCTACCACTTAAAAAGTACTATGTTCCTATTCATGAACAAGGGTGAAATAACCACCCCCATCATTATCTGTGATGTAAATATCTGGTATACAAAAAATTGAACAAGATTTTAGATTTATGTCTTAAAAAATTTATGGAGTTCTGATTCTGTGACTGAATTACCCACAGATTTCAAGTTTATACATAGACGGTAGATTGATATCTGATAATGGTAGCTACTATCATAAACCTTATATCAGAATCAGCAATTGGCTAAAGGGTGTTTACGGCTAACATTAAACGTGTCTCTTACATGTGGATTCATTCAACAGTTTACAAAATTCATCCTTCTTTCTTCGCGTACCGTATTAATAAAACAGTCAATACCTTTGGAGATCCGAAGGAAATCTCAGAATCTGTATTTTTTACAATTACCTTTAAACATAGTCTCCATATTAGTTAAGATATTATCCTGTTGATAAAAAGGGTGATAAAGTAACTAATTCTACAGTTAATTATTCAACCATGCGTCGAATGTAAACATTAACTAAATACCACACTTCGATATTTCCTCTTGACATCAATTCACCGTAGACCATTTGTAGTAAACTCTTTGTCTTCCAGACGCCGTTGATTTTGATACCAATTTACACACACGAATAATGTCTGGAAATCTAAGGCTAAGTCCTTCGAGTTACAAGTACACTTTTCTATGAAAATTTACAAAGATGAAAAAGGGCTGAACAATTGAGTCTTTCGGATCAATTTTTATTATGTCTGGCAAATCTAGTCTAAATTTATATAGGAAGGATTTTTAAAGAAATATCTCTAACACAATAGGTTTCCATTAATATTTCTGTCAATTGTAGTTTTGCTTGTGAAGTTTTGACATTTTTTAAATACTTTAGTTTTAAATAAGTAGAAATGCTATAACATTAATATATTCATATTGACGCACATATTCCTTCATATCTAAAATCATGGACTATTATACGGTCCATGCTAAAACAGCATTAGCATAGCATGGTTCATTTGGCTTTGGTCAGTGCTGAGTGTACTACAACTCATTCATATTTTCGGTCTTGATAATAGAGGCTATCACATACAAAAAAGATAACGGATCGTGTGAAGATTATGAATGTACTTTATTTAGTTAAATTTGCCAGTCCATTTTATAGTTTATTATCTCTCCTAAATACACAATTATGCATGAACTGTAAAGAAAACCCTTTTAAATGAAAGGTTTATAATACACATTCAGCTTATAATCTCCATGGCGTTTATATTTTTATTTAGGAAAGCTCTAAAGGCAAGGCTTTTCCCTGAATATCTGAGTGTTTTGCCCCCCCCCCCCACCACAGCCCCTTTATTGACAGATTATTTTATTGGCCTATTTCCTTTTGTTAGTAAGACTGGATGTACATTTTATTACTTTTATTACACATTTTATTACACAAATGAATGTGTCGTCACGATGTAAATGTAAATTAATTCGAAGAGGAATAGAACAAATAATCAATTCTTATTTTCAAAATGACCAAAAGTAAGTGACATAATAATATATTGATTAAAATCCGACAGAAAAAGGATGTAAGTAAATGACCATTTATTACTCAGATATTTAGTCCCGTCTTCATTAGCCCAGTCGGAGCAAAACCCCATTTCATTTCATTTCATTTCATTTCCCTTACAAGTTACAGCGTTACTTACTTTCGTACATCTGAGAGAGAGAGAGAGAGAGAGAGAAAGTATTTAGACGTATGATAAATGACAGTGTCGTATACAATTGTACATACGTACATAATGTACAGTATGATAACGACCCCAATTTTTTTTATAAAGAAATGCTCAAGAAATTAATTCTGTAGAGTGAGAACTAATGGGTAATAGCTATAAAAGAACTGTTCCGAAAACACACATTGACTATTATACTTCATTGCTAATTATTCCTGAAAATCGTTGGATGTAGGCATACGTGCTTCGCTAATTCATCAACAATGATATACAGGGTCTACAATTCTGGAACAGATTTTGCAAAAACGCACGATTCTATACGGACCGTCTTTTCTAACAAATGCTAACCACCATGTTTATGTCCAGTTTTACCTGAAATTGTAAACCATTTTACAAGAATTCTTTTGTTGATTTGATTACCTGTTTTCATAAATGTTATTCAAAACAAAAATGGCAGCATCTTGGATTTGAGTGGTCAGGACTACCCTGAACTCGAAAATAACCATTAACAGTAGATTTGTAATGTTGGAATTAGTGAAATGTCACTTCTTTCGTTCTTATGGTTTATTTGGTGCTTTACATTTTATGTATTTAGAAATGTCGGACAGTGGCCAATTTGAATATTGCCGCCATTTTCTCAAAAAATGACACCGGTTGTTAAAAGGTATAGGAATCAAATGGTCACGGATTCAAAGAACATTACTCCATGATTAGATCAGGCCCCAAGTTCACAATGCATTCTCAGACTTAAGTTAAGAATTTACTCAATATTGTTGACTATGCCCTTTATAAAACCCGTGTTGTTTTAATGTATCAAATACACCAATAGGAAACTATGTGCAAAGTCTTGTGTTTCTGGATCAAAGATATTTCTCATAAACAGTGATTAAAAGTTGAGTAAATTCTTAACTTAAGTCTGAGAATGCTTTGTGAACTCGGGGCCAGGAGTCGTGTGGTGAGTCATTAATTGCGGGCTGACTTGCACGAAAACACTGGATTAAACTTCGTATATTAAACCTTTATTCTGGCACGTTCGGGGGTTATCAAGGACAGTGACTGGAACTTCTTTTGCGAAAACGATGTCTACCATTACAAAGCAGATCTCATGTGTGAGTAATATATTTGAACAGAATTTGTTGTGGTTAAAATAGAGTTCCTAATAATTATAATTTTACACCCATGCTATCTGTAATTGCTAATATGTGTCATAGATGTCAAAGCCGTATAGCTATAATTTCCCAACAATGTGTGAAGGGTACCTCATAGCATCTCCGACAAAGAAAAGAAAGACAGTGGGGAGCTAGCCAATTAATTATTAAATTAGCATCAGCTTTTCGAAGCTTGGTATACTATTTACGTTTTTATATAATTAATGATATGCTGATTCCGGCGCCTTCTGTGGCCACTAAGTAGCACCACAATTGCATATTTGCGTGCACTATTTATAAAAGACTTAACTTTTTTTAAGCTTGACATGAATCCATTTTGTTTCTGAATAGACCAGCCGGACGGAGAGCAGAGAATTTTTATTAATTTTCTTAAAATGATATTTATTTTTTAATCTTCCAACTGATCGCCCCTTTCTTTTTTTTTATCCCTCAAACCCTAAAAAACAAAATCCCACTGATAAGAATACTTTTGGAAAGTGTAGAATACGAAAACCCTAGGCCTATAGGAGGATACATAATGGAAAAATAGTGATATTGCAAGTTTATAAATAGAGAATTCATAAATAATTGATGTGTATTACAATGACATGAAATGAAACTAGACGTCCTATTTTTATGCAGCAACAGGGATATTGAAGATGGGCATACGCCATGAATTGTGCTTTGCGGTAAAGTGCAATTCTTCATGAGTTCCAACTGTATACGGTTCATTTACCTACATATTCTTGAAAATAAGCGACAATGCTTTACACCATGATGACAATGGTCATAAAACAAAATGCGCAGTTTGATACTTATAATGATATAATTATTCTATTTTCGTTCATTTTGTATTTGCATCATGTCATGTTTCGTAATTACAACATGTCTATATTTAGAAACTTACTATTCGGTCCCATTTGAATTCTCGTAGTCAATCCGTTAAAGAGACGATCTTCAATGGCTGACAAATGCATGTCTCTCTGGTCTTATTGAGGCTGGAAATAGCCAATGACAGTAACTTTCCAAGGTTTATTAAAAGTTATAGTGCCCCACATTTTGATCTTCGATCAAAGGAGAGAATCAAATCATCATATGCGTCTGTGGTGGCGGCGAAACCAATAAATAAACTCAAAAGTTCTGAACAGCACGGCGAGAGGAAATTTGATGAAATAACTCTTGAATTATTTATTCCAAAAGAAGATGTAAAATTAAAAGACATCCCCCAACCAGCTATCGATATGGATGATAGAATAAACATGGAATCGACGTTAGAAAAATCTGAGGATGGCAGGAATATAAATAGTAACGACTACGTGAACCAAACAAGTGCCACTTCTAGTAAAGACCATTCAAGAGAAGACTCCATCAGTAAAGAGATCAGTTCAAAGCCTGGAATATTTCATAATACAAGACCAAAAAGTCATAGTCCAACAATTACAACACCTTTAAAGTTCTATTATGGAAATCCAAGTGTTGAATTAACGAAAGGAATACTGCACATATATAAGGAAAATCACCCAACATCATTAGATGAAGATGTTACTAGAAGTGAAATGATCTGTATTCTTGCAGTACCAGCATCGTACACCATCCACGATCTGTTAAATTTTACAGCACCAATGAGTGTATCTATAGAACACATGCAAATCATTCGAGATAAAAAACCTAATCAATATATGGTGTTAATGAAATTTAGTAATCAAGGGAGTTGTGATGAATTTTACTCTTATTTTAACAATCGTCCATTCAATTCCATTGAGCCAGATATTTGTCATTTGGTCTATGTTGCTCAAGTTGAGGTCATGAAGGAGTCTGAGGGAGGATCACAACCAATCCCTGGAGTTACGGAATTACCAAATTGTCCAGTCTGTTTAGAAAGAATGGAAGAATCTGTTGATGGTATTTTAACAGTGCTGTGTAACCATGCATTCCACAGGTCATGTTTACAAAAGTGGGGAGATACCAGTTGTCCAGTTTGTCGATATATACAAACCCCAGAAGAAACAGTAGATAATCGTTGTATGAAATGCTCTTCTCATGAAAGCTTATGGATTTGTCTTATTTGTGGACATGTTGGCTGTGGTCGTTATGTTGGCTTGCACGCTTACAGACATTTTCAAGAGACGAATCACACATATGCCATGCAACTAGGAAATAATCAAGTGTGGGACTATGCTGGTGATAATTATGTTCATAGATTGGTTCAAAATAAATCTGATGGAAAATTGGTAGAAGTTGATGAGGGGGGAAATATTGTTCAAGATGAGAAGCTTGACACGTTGACACTTGAATACACTAATTTGCTAACAACACAATTAGATTCCCAGAGATTGTATTTTGAAGATCAGATGGTTGAAGCAACAAAACAGTACCAAGAACAGGTAGAAGAATTAACAAAACGGTGGAAAACTCAGATGGAAGAACTAGAAACAAAGGGTTTTGCCTTTTCAGAAGTTTACAAAGAGAAACAAGCTCTTGAGCGGAAGTGCTCAAACTTACATAATCGTTTAACTAAAGCATTGACCGAATTACAAGATGAGAAGCAAATGAACTCATGTTTAAGGGAAAACCAAAAGCAATGGCAAGATCGAGTTGCTGCATTAGAATCGGAAGTAAAGAAAATCAGCACTGTAAAAGATGAGGAAATAAAGGATCTACAAGATCAGCTACGTGATGTCATGTTCTATTTTGAAGCTCAAGAAAAATTAGCTAATAGTACCGAAATCTCTAAAGAGGAATTACAAGATGGTCAAGTTTTTCTTGGTGCCTCTGCATCTGCTAGTCAACCTGGTAAAAAAACCAGAAAAAAGCAAAGATAAAAATTCTTGCTATATGATTTTGTGAAATATTTAATTTAAGTGGCAACAAACCAGTTGCTTCATAAATGTTTTAAAAAAAACACTGCATTTCTATCCTACTTAAAATACATGATCTAATTAAGCAAATCCAAGCACACAAAACTATTTAATGAATTACATGTAGCTGATTGTGTAGGAAAACGTTTATCACTTTATTTCACCTGTATATTGTTGGATTATATTCTGCCATGTTGCTACATATATTTTTTGTGATATGTAAATATTACCTTGTTATTATAAATGATTGTTACCCTTTGTGTGTATCAATCTTGTATTTATTTTAAAAGTTAAATTATCAATAAAAAAAAATAAAAAAAATAAACAGTTTCAAATTACAATGAATATCACTCATAAATAGTGTTTAATAGGCCATCAGTCAATTAAAGATACTTTATGGGAGATTAGATAAAGAGCTGGCAGTTCTCACCATAATAGTTAAAAACTAGATAATGTAAAGGGAATTTGCTAAAAAATTTCAGTCAAATTGATCCACTCGGAACCAAGGATTTTGGGCCTAGCCTCGATCATCATTACTAAAGTCATTACTAAAGTCGGTACGATAAAATACTTAGTCACAATTATCCATTTCTTGATTTAATCATGAATGAGTGTTGAGCAGCAGATCGGATTCGAATCCAGTAAATATATATCACAGGCTAACAAAGACATGGGGAGTTGATTATGGCCTGCATAAGTTAATTAATGTCTAATTAATAATTTAGATAACATTTCAGGCCTAAAGAAAGACCTTGCATAATGTATTTTTAATATTAAAATTAATGCACATGGAAATTATAATTCTGAAGGTAATCTTTTGTGGTTACCACTGTAAATAAACTTGTTTTTTTTATATATTTTGGTGTCTTTACTGTAGATATATGCTTTATGTATATCATTAAAGCGTGGTGTTTTTAATCAATCTCTAGTCTAATAATGGTCTAACTGACCGGTTGTAAGTGCTACGTGTGAAAAGAATTACCAGGGTAGTAGAATTTGTAAAAATTCAAAATACATGTACAGGACTCACAAGCTCCTGACGAAAAATCCCGCTTTTAGCTTGTGGTCCCTATAGAGATCACAATTTTTATCCAATTTAAAAAAACGTTTTAGTATAACACCGTTACACCAAAATGATGGTTGAGTTCGAATTTCTTGAAATTCGGACCAAAACTGCCGGACAAAATGGCCGCCCCTTGTTCGCAAATACATGTAGTGTAAAAATATGGTATATCAAGGTTGTGGACCCTGTAGAGGTCACAATTTTCATCCGAATTAGATGAAACTTGGAATGCATGTTTATATCCCAAAGATTTTGGTTCCTTTCGATATTCGTGCATATCGGATCGTACCTTCCTGAATTATAGTCCCTGATGCCGATGGTACGAAAAATCACGCTTAGCTTGTGGTCTCTCTAGAGGTCACAATTTTTATCCGATTTAAAAAAAAAACGCTTTAGTTAGAGTGGTTCAATGGTCAATTATTTGTCCTTACATAAACATGCAGAGTTAGCTGCCTGACTGCACCGTCCGTGAGATTTTCTGAAGTGATCAAAATGTAGCACTATAACCAAACTACCCATGACAAAAATCACAAATAGGCTTATACTATCATTGTTAATAAATTTCCGACAACTACGGAGCATTGGTCTATTTGCGGCGATTGTCAAAGTGTCATAAAAGCGCAATCGCCCAGTTAAAAAATCGACTTCGGAAGACTAAAAAAGAAATGATTCGCATGAGGGCTAATAATGAAAATAAAAAACAATTGGCAGGTAAAAAAAAAATGGTTGCAAGTCCAGACCTTTTAGGAAGAACGAAGTAATTTTGTATGATGTCGAAAATCAAAGATACACAGCAGAATTTCATAATTTCATGTCAAAAGTCGATCTTTTCATATCCAGTTAAACGTGTATTTTAGTTTCCACTGTAGCATTATAAACTTTTGAAAGCGTGGGTATATTATTAAAACAACTAAGCGTTTGCGCATGCGCACACATGTCAAATTCAATCGTCTCATCGAGTGTATCCGTTACTTCACAGCAAGGAAATAAACGATGTTTACCGACTGCGATAATTGAATTTCGTTTCAGGGGAGTACGTTACAGTTTTACGGCTACCAAGGGACATAACTCTTATTTTCACCAAGAGTTATCTGCCTTGATTATGGAGGCCGGGTAGATTTTGAAGCATTTATAACATTATTTCTAAATGGTTATATCACCCAAATGATGGTTGAGTTCAAATTTCGTAAAAATCGGACCAAAACTGTCGGACAATTTGGCCGCCCCTTGTAAGCAAATAAATGTAGTGTTAACATCTGGTATATCAAGTTTGCCGACCTCCTAGAGGTCACAATTCTGATCCGACTTTGATGAAACTTGAAATGCATGTTTATAAGCCAAAGATCTTGGTTCCTTTCGATATTCGAGCATATCGAATTGTAATTTCCTGAATTATGGCCCTTGATTGTACGAAAAATCGCGTTTTGAACTTGTGGTCCCTATAGAGGTCACAATTTTTATCCGATTTTTAAAAAAAAAAAAGTGTGAATATATCACAGTTACACTCGAATGATGGTTGAGTTCAAATTTCGTGAAAATCTGACTAAAACTGACGGAAATAATGGCCGCCCCTTGTACACAAATAGTGTAAAAATATGGTATATCAAGGTTGTGGACCCTCTAGAGGCCACAGTTTTTATCCGAATTGGTTCAAAATTTAAATATTTGTTTTTATCATAAAGATCTTGGTTCCTTTTGATAATCACACATTTCCAAACGTAACTTCCTGGATTAGGGCCCCTGATTAGTCAAAAAATCGTATTTTTAGCTTGTGGATTCTCTAGAGGTCACATTTTTTCTCGATTTTAAAAACCGTTTAGATATGTCACCATTCCACGATAATGAAGGTTGAATTCCAATTTCAGAAAAATCGAAATGAAACTGTCTAACAAAATGGCCACTCTTTGCACGCAAATCGTGTATAAGTATGTAATACAAAGATTATGGACCCGCTAGAGGTCACAATTTTTATCCGATTTTGATAAAACTTAAAACATATCTTTATATTCCAAAAATCTCAGGCCCTTTTGATATTTATGTATTTCAGACAATAACTTTCTGGATTATGGCCCCGGATAAAAATCGGATAAAAATTGTGACCTCTGCAGTGCTCACAAGCTAAAAACGTGATTTTTAGTACAATCAGGGGCCATAATCCATGAAGTTACAGTCCGATACATGCCAATATCGAAAGGAGGAACCGGGTAAAAATTGTGACCTCTAGAGTGTCTACAAATAATTGTGGACGGACGGACAGGGGCGACGACAATATATGACCACATGAAAATGGGGGCGTATAAAAAAATTGTTTTTGTTTTTAGCTTGTTCTCTATGGATCCATCTCTTTCAAAATGTGGGCGTATCCTGCCTGGCAGCCGCTGGTTTTAATTGACTATAGAGATCTTAAAAAGTCACACTTTGAGCTTGCGTAAATGGATGTATTATTGGGTGCACTATAAATATACATTATTATTATTATCATGGAGATGGAGCAGGGATATCATGAAGGGACAGTTTTAGGGGCTACTTCCTAGCATCTGATATCTCAAGTCTTTTATAAACTTTTATAGTATTAATATTATATTTTTTCTTATGTAACAGGATCGTAGATTAAAAACGTTGACCCATAAACGTCCTTGCCACGATATTGAATCAATTGCAGATCGTATGATCTAAAGCTCACGCGTTAAACTATATTCGACCCCTACCCCCAACACTAGACGAAACGGCTTAAAAAAAGCAATTGTATTTAAGTACAGTATTTTATTTCCATAAATATTGCAATAGTTAATGACATACACTACTAAAGTCCCAAATTAAAGATTTCCATTTCCATCAATATGTTTTGCATTAACACCATAACAAAAATTATAAACTTTGCTGTTTATCTATACATTTTAATATTACATAATAACCTACCACGCTCATATACTTTTAAAAATATACTTTACATAACAGGAAAATATTACATCCGTTTTTAATAATAGAAATTAAAATAAGTTAAATAATATTCTTCAGCTAAGAACACGAACATAATAAAACACAAAATATACGTACTTTATATATAAAAGACAATGAAAAAATGTATAGGAACAAGATAAAGTACACATATTATGTACGTAAGGCGTTTAGAAAGACAATGGTTCACCTTCTTGTGGATCATTTCAATTAATATCCACGTGCTACTTGAGTTAAAAATCTTTAGATTCAAAATATAGACATGAATTTAATCAATAACAAAAGAGGGATGCATTGTAGTTGCATTCCCATTTTTGTGATTTTTGAGGAAAAAAACCCCGCCAACTCAACGGTCACGCATGAATAAACCTTAAAAAGAACTAGTTGAATTCGCAAAATATAGAAATTACTTTAACAATACAAGGGATGGTCGTCTACATTAATATCATAATTAACCCTATTAATTAATATCAGATAGTCTATAGTTTCACTTTTCGTTTCTCCCCTTTTAACACACGTTATATCCTAACTATATACAATATAGACTCATTCATAAAGGATTATATAATTTGATAAGCCATGATTTATTATTTAGACAATAATAAGTAAATTTGACAATAGAAGAAAGACACGCACAGTTCTAATATGAGATCAAGGATGAAATATATATCGTATGTTAATGCGGAAACCAATATTTATATATAGTTTAAAAAAATCATTACTGACACACATTACACAAATAACAAAGTCAAAACAGTTAAAAGAAGCAAGGAAAAGATATTTAATTGAGAAATTGTATTCGCCGAACTTTTTCTTCCTTTCAATGGAACACTTTCTAATATATAATGTCTTTCTACGTCAATGTATATGGTAGCTTCAGCATACAGGGCGTTGCTTGATACTTCTGTGGCCTGAAATCAACGAATATAACAGAGTGTATATAAACCAAGGCAAGAAACTGTTCCGATTAAAATGTCTTCTCCAAATTTCATTAAATTTGGGCCATCTTTAATTGGGATGATTTTATCAAGCCCCTATATATATTGAGATAATAATTGATTGTGTTCCTGTGTCAACTCTTTACACCAAAAAAGAAACTGAAATTAGTAAACAAAATTCAACACTTTACGCCAAAAATGAAACCGAAATTAGTAAACTAAACGAAAATTCAATACTTCATTTTGAGCTAAATTGAAGTGGTTTTGTTTCTTTAAGATTTCAATGATAGATCATGTAACGTAGCAATCTGATTTAAATACAGATCTATATTTCGTTTCGTTTTTTATACTTTCGATGGCCTACACTACATGAAGATCTGACCAGTTGTACTGGGAGGTCGCGTCAGGGTCATACGAGCGACCTTTGACCTGTGATGTCAGACATTGATTAATCAATCAGCGTTGACGTTTCTAGGCGTTTACTCATAGTTCCGTGCAGAGCGCGCCAAGAACTCGTCGTAACGGATCATTTCATTGGCTAATTTCTCACATCAGCTAGACCGCCTGTTATATAACAACTTTTCCAGATCCTAGTGTTGTGAAGACAAGTAAAACGAAATTTGAAACTACAAAAAACGAAACGAAATAGGCTCCGTATTTTAATCAGATTGTGTAAAATAGCTTTATTTGCCGGATTCGAAATTAACTATAATACGCATAGGAATTTGATACGAAGCGTTTTAGGGCCAATTAATAAACACAAAATTCAGACCTGGTAACTCCTAAACAGTACTGCATCCCATGTCCCTAATCTGTTCTGAGCAGATATGGATGAAAGGTGTGTGCAGTGTGGGAGAGAGGTGCTGTGTGCGTGTGCAGCGTGAAAGGGGTGTGAGAGAGGTAAGCAGTGTGCAGGGATATGTGTAGTGTGAGAGAGGGGTGCTGTGTGAGAGAGGCGTGTCCAGTGTGCAAAGGGTACAGCGTGGGAGAGGTGTGTGCATTATGATATATATGCGTATTGTTTAAGATGTGTGTGTCATAATATAATACAGGCCACGATGTGTGAGGTGTGTTGCTAAATATGTGTATTGCAAAAGATAGTTCACGTAGTTTTTACTTCAAGAATCCCCATGTTAGGAATTAGCTATTTCCTGATTAGGACTTAGTAGCTCCTATTTAAGACTCAGTATCTCATAATTAGTACTTGATGAGAAATTAAAAAAGAAATTTGGCCCTAATAATAAGTCCTAATTTGGAGATAATAAGTCCTAATTTGGAGATAATAAGTCATAATTAGGAGATACCAAGTCCTAATAATGAAAATATATGTGTTATTTGTTTGGCCCTAATACATTCCAAGGCACCATTTAACATAAATATATAATAGACCATAGGTCTATCTAAACTTTATTGACATTTACAATGATATCACTAAAGTGATCTAGTAAAGTGATTGGTATACAATATATGCAAAGGTCATGCCCTCAAAAACAATGCAATGCAAGACAGAAACATTTAACTATGCGTTACAATATCTAAAATGTAAACAAAAAAGCCCAAAGAAGAATTGTCGATTATTATTTGACGCATTGTTAATGTTTTACATCCCACGGTTAATCAGATATAAATGTCGATGTTTCCAAAGCAGATTGACCCAGGATCGACAATTCCCCCTTAATATACATACAGACGATATTACAATACGATATACTATTTTATTTGAAAAACATACCCCAACTTTGTTGAAATTAGTTCCAGCATTAGCAATTTTTCGATAGCACTGAAATTTTCAATTTTAAAATAAAAGTATATGATAAAATGACACCATTTTCTCCATGAATTTCCTAGACACCTCTTTCTTTTCTTTTTTCAATTTACACACTGATCGGGTTTTTAAAATTTATTTTTCGATGATATCCTCTTCATAAAGATGTGTTCATGTGGATTATTTCAGGGATAGGGTATATTTATTCAAATATCAAATAATGTTAGAGAATTAATAAGCTGTACCTAGCAACAATTCTACCAGTATGACCTACCTGTACGATAAGTTGAACTTTGGGTGTTTTGTCAACCCATAAAGGTTTAATAAGTTTAATAACAGCTCTATAAAATCCTGTATTATCAGGACCTTCTCGTTCTATGGTGAAATGATTATTCAATCCAGGTGGAACAGCTGAAGAAAAATACAAAGAAAATAAGTTACTTGCTTGAAGTTTAAATCCCGGTTCAACCCGAAAAACCCTGATTCCCGTATAATTTCAACAAATATTTAACAAAATATGCATGTGTGAAAAAATCTCATCCATCAGAAATACACGCGAGCCGTAATCGTGATTTTAAATTCTTCTGTTATCGACTTTATTGAGGACGAACGAATCCATTATTCCCTCAAAAGGCAGAAAACTAATCAACATGTAAGAATTCAGTAATATAAAGGGCTAGGGATTCCTGTAGAAGTTTTATACACGAACAGGTATCACAAAGCAAATGACAAATGGATGTCTTGTCAGAATATATCAATCGCTTCACTTACTTCTAACAACTGTAAATTCTAATTCATTAAATGGTGTATTGGCATCTCTAGCTTGTAATGGAACAGTTAATGTTGGATTATCTGATGGCATGGGGAACAGTCGCAATCTAAATAACTGGAAAAAATAAACCACAAATGCATTAGATGGCACGCATGTGTCAAGAACTGTGCCATGACGGCTGAACCATGTATTTAAACTGGAACTGCATACCCTCAATTTTGAACATTGAACAGATGTTACAATAAGTATGTATAACCTTTCCTCAACCGGCTTATCGGAGCTGGGTAGTCAAGCTGCCAGGCCACTGGGCTCTCGACTAAAATGTATAGGGTTCGAATCCCGGCTTGAGCCGAATAGATCCGTAGTGATTTTACAAGCCCAGCATTCCTTTGTGAGGAATGGCCCTTGCGAGGTATCCGGTATGGAACGAAAAACCGAGGGTAACATGTATACATTGGCGTGCATGTAATAGAATGCTTGGCAGCTGCACACTTGGAGGTCGAATAATAATAGGCGGAAACGTCGGTGCCTGCTCAAAATTCTCATAACTTGCCAAGTACATGTAACCATAAACCCCGCATAGGGCTGTCTCAAAATGACCAAAGTATTGTGTTTTCAAGACATTAACCCCTCAATGATATAGTTCGGAGGATGTTCGGGTAATGATTAAACCCACCATAATATAATTTTCATATAATATTTGAATGGTATCTAGCGATTGAACATAATATAACAATCACAATATTCTATACACACCATGTTTCGACAAGTGATTGTTATCAATAGAAATGTGTTGTTTTATAGAATTTATATAATTTAAAATAAAAGATTGTCTCATTTGGTCGCTTTCAAGACAGTAACAAGAACAGAAAGGATGTATTTACTTACACTAGCTCCAGACTGAACACTGCTAGAATATTCAGGTTTTTTACAGGCGCCAACACAAGTTGGGTACTTGAAATTTGGTGGTTTATCTCCACCGAGGTCTTTAGGTATGATCACTACCTCGGTACGATTTGGTTGACTATCAACGGGTAATATAGGTGCACTAACTACATGCTCCTTTTCAGCAATAAGCTCTTCTGCCTGGAAGAAAAATACGGCGAATGGTTTAGATTTGTTTGTAGCTGCTTATAACTTTCGATATCTAACACAATTTTGTAAGACATTTAAAATTTTAAAATCCGAATTCGTTTACAGTTCTTTAATTTAGAGAGAGAGAGAGAGAGATGGGGTTTAACGTCCAATCTACACAAACTAGGTCATTTCGGGACTAACACATGGTTCAATTTTATTTCAATAATTCGCTTGCGCGTAGGGGTTTTTAGCAGTGGGAGGAAACCGGAGGACCCGGAGAAAACCCACGAGGTTGAACAGGCTACCCTACTCCTTGTCACGTACAACCGGGGAATCGAAACCCCGCCAGTTGACTCAATAACAGACCCTATGATACAGCGCAGCGCGAACGTGCTAACCATTCGGCATCCCCCCCCCCTTTAATTTATAGTGTTACTTTCTAATGTTATGAAATATAACAAGCCTCGAGCCATTTGTATCTGGAAAATTAAACCATTTACGGTAGTAATCATAACAACCAAGCTAACCAACGATATTTGGTTTCGAAGTTAGAGAGTAACAGACTTTTAAACAGGGCAATAGTTGCTTGGTTTTATATTAACTAAGTAATCCAAAAAGTTGTACTTTTAAACTAACGTGGTTAAAGGTTTAAAATGGAACCGATCAGTTCCACGGCGTTGGCTCGCAACCTGGCTGACAAAGTTCCTCGGGATTTTCTGGCGTGGTTGCTCTTGTATGTGTTGTAGAACGGAGGGCCTGGCAATGAACAACGTCTAGTCACTGGGATTGGGACGAAAATCCGAGGTCACGTGTACACATGTGTTTGCCTGTCTTCATTAGCCCAAAAGGAGCAAACAAGTAGGACGTCTTAACAATTAATTTCGTATGTTTGTTTATCCATTTCTTTTACTAATAGTCGAAAGCTGTATTAACGTAAACTGACCTCGACTGTTACTGAGACGGTTGCAGACGACACATCTTTGCCGTCTGTGGTGGTCACAATGAAGTAATAGAATGGTTTAGAAGCCATGTTAAGAGCTTTCCGTGTTCTGATTTCACCGGTTATAGAATCTAAAGTGAAATCTGAAGTGTCACCATCTCCAAATACATACACGACATTCTTTGTATCATCAGCATCTGATGCCTGGTAAAAAATATATATACGTAAATATAAATCAAGTATAATTAGATGTGTGTCAAAAATAAAATTCTGGACTTCATGATTGTGTTGTTTTCTTTTCTGGGATGACGACCATTCTTCGTTCAAAATTTTAAATCCGTAGATAAAGCCAATGTTCAGATATAATCGAGTATGTGTGTTGTCCGTCGACACAGACAATCGAAAATGAAATTAAAACTAGCAAAACAAACCGACTTTCAACTTGCTACAAAGATTGGATGCGGTTGACCATTGAAATTTTGTGATACACAAATTTGAAGTAGCATAATAATAAACATGTAACTGTCCAACTACATATCTGCGTGAACTATAATTATTTGCAAAAGGAAAGAAAGGGTAAAAAGAGATAAAGGCTGTAAAAAGAGATAAAGTCTGTAAATAGAACTACATCGGGAACCGATACAGTGGAAATAATTGGTGGTGTTCATCCTCGTGTATCTTACTGTAGTTATGTCCCTTTATCGAATTATACCATGTACCTGTAGCTCGCTTCGTTTTGTGGTGCAAAATAAAATACCAAAAGCAGTGACGTATTTCAATTGCAATAGTCACGCACATTTCTGGTTAAGCCCCATGTGTTTTGTCAATCGCCTGTGTATGATATTTTACAGAAAAATCTACCAAGAAATATTATTCCGCACATAATATCGACGTGCGCAGCAAAACTTGTATCGTTTCGTAGTAATAAAGGGTATTATGTGAAATGATTTGTATATTATACTTACCGACACAGTCACAACATGATAATCAGCTTTACCTTCGGGAATAAACACTTCATAAATGGACGGATTAAACACAGGGACACTATCTGCTACATCAGCTACTTTTATTTTAACAATAGCTGTTGACGTTAACACAGGTAAACCATTATCTGATGCCACAACAACTAGCTCATATTCCTGCTGTTCTTCACGATCTAACTCTGTCTTTGATGATATTTCACCATTTTGATTAATCACAAAACTGGAAAAAAAAATCCAAGGACACAATTAATTCAGTTTAACGGAGAAACCTCTGATTCAGTTTAAAATTCAGTAGCTCGGCAATTTTGGAAATGGTCTAAAAAAAAAACTGCATAAGGAGGTTAAGTAACCCCTATAAGGTATTTGATGTTTTGCAATACATGACTAGATAGACACGACTATCCGACTACAGAAATGGTTATCCAAACAGTGGCCCCTTGTGTCAATTCCCAAGTGAAACGTGAACATTTGCATCGTTTGAACAGTATCCGGTCGATTTAGAGCTTTCGAGAAGATATAGTCAGTTTTATTTGGGACGGCCACTTTAAATACTGCACCGAATTAATTATACCCACTTATCAACTGGTTCCAAGAAACTGTATGTTATCAATGAATTACTACTGGATGGCTCATCACTATCAAAAGCCTGAAAAATTTAATCAATAGAAAAAGCTATAGATAATTAAAACTCATCTGTAAAAATGTACGCATATCAAAGGATCTCGGCATCAAAAAAGCATGACGACGCCGAAACACGTGTCCTAATGGGATTATTCCGTTTTAGGCAGTATTTTGGAAAACATGGTTGCACCCTTTTCAGTCTGACGTCCACAATGGAATTTCCAGTGGGCAGTTTGAAAACCTGTCCATAATGTCGGCGTAGGGTATAACTATACACCGAGTGTCACCCGGTTGAACGCTTGAGTGCACGTAAAAGAACCCATGGGCGCAATTACTTATAGTATTGCACACGACTATGCACAGGAAAAATAACCGGATGTTAGTCCCAAATCGTGTTTACGAGACGTTAAACAGCATACATGTATTTTACTAGTGGTGTTGAACGAACTGTCTTGTGACATGTCGAATGGAACCATTTTGAACTATTAAAGTACTTACTGCTACAACGTATTTAACTTTCTGTCCTTCTACTACAGAAAACACATATTCTTTGTGGCTGAATTGTGGTTTATTATCATTCATATCTGTTACAGTAACAACAACACTTGTCTCGGATGTCTAAAAATAACAATATACGATACATCAATTTTAAATGACAACTGACAAAACGAAACAAAAAACCGTGATGGGAATAAAAGCAATATAGAGCAACTTTACAAACAAACATACTCTTAAATAATAGAACTCATTATGCCGAACTTCTGTGGCTCAGGTATTTTATTAGAGAAATGTCAGTTCCGAGGAAATCATACTGGCCAAATTTACTCGCTATCGTTATTGTAAGTGCGCGAATGAATATAGCATTGTGGTAATATTCGGCGTTTTTGGCATATGTTTGGTATATTATGATGACGGAAAAGTTAATCCAGAAGTAGGAGTTGTTATTTCCCTGAAGGAGTTGACCAATTTTCATAGCCCGTCCAAGGTATAAATAAATATACCTCTAATATACTTACTAACTCTTTGGAGTCTTCTACCTCTACTAATAAAGTATATTCATCAACCATTTCTCTATCTAACATTACAACGTTGGTTATAACACCACTGTAACAGACAAATTCATTCAATTATATGGTAGAACACAAGTATTTCCTAATCAAGAACATCTTCACGGAGACAAGCTAAAGAAAGTGCTTTACTGTATTCCTGAACACTGGCGGTACCGATTTCATAAAAAGGCTTTTAAAATAAGTGAAATGGTGTTTAACTGCTTATATCTTGCACCAATCAGGTCGATGAAGGTGGGGATACGCTATACAGGGTACAGTAGCAGATGTTTTTCCCCAGAACAACTGTGCTACCGTCCTGAACCACTGACAAGGGGAAACCTGGTTGGACAATCTCGAGTAACTAGCACAGCCAACACCGAGGTAGAGCGCGTGGGTGAGCCATCATCACTAAATGAACCATCATTGCCGCACTTCAAAAATATTGGAATAAAATCGATATTCTAGTCTCGGTCACCCAGAACCTCCTAGTCTTCAAGCTACGGAGGCTATCGACAGTCCTGAATTATTAAATGTCGCTTAAAAAATCTACATACTCTTGGTTGATTTTAAATGTAGATGTTGCTGGATTCTGGTTAATTATTCTATAAGTAAGGTCATCACCATCTGGATCCATAGCCTGTTAATTAAGGAGATTTATTTCGATTATTATATGATCTAAGCATTAGTCCTTATAAAAAAGATCAACTGTTCAAGTATGGTAAACACCAAGAAAAAAAATAAATTGTTAATAAAGGCATTGGGAGAAATCTGACCAATGATAATGAATCCGAAACTTCGAAAACAAATGATAAGGTGACTTGTACTTACAGATATTTTAACTATTTCACTAGCTACTGCTGTACCTTCACTGACGGATACTTTATATTCTGACTGTGGTATAACTGGTGGATTGTTAGCTACTGTTACAGGTATAACAGATATAATCACTTTAGCTGTAGATCTGAAATATACAAGTATATAATGATACAATTGTTAACCCTCCAGCATTTAATAAGAAGTCAATATCGCTATAGATTAACAAGAACACGCGCACCCGATTATATCACTCCAATGCAGTGTGCAGAGAGGGAAATTTGGTTTGGCAGCGAAGCTACGACCATCTCTTACGACGACGTTTTCCTTGCCAGGCCCGAGTCGTCCACCACTGACCAGTCTAAAAAATCAAGAACTTCCCCAGCCAACATCGGGCCCATCTGGTTAAACCGATAGTATATGTATAAAGTACACCAGATTGCACTACAGCAAATTCTATTTTTACATTTTGCCTACAATAAAGGGATTTCATTAAATTTCTCCAACTACACATTTTTTTTTCTTTTTATATAAACAATATTTTATTCAGGATGTCTGAATGGCATTAGCCTATGTAAAACCCCTCTCCCGACACAAAATTAATATAGATAAGTTTATAAAGCTGAAATCTAAAATCTGAAGAGAATACGATTGTAACACAAGACCAGTACTACCGCAGTTATTACCTATCCTTCCCTTTAATATAGATACGTTTATAAAGCCGAAATCTGAAGAAAATAGTATTACGATTGTAACCCAAGACCAGTACTACCGCAGTTACTACCTATCCTTCCCTTTAGCGTGCTTATCAGATATATGAAAAATTGTGGGATTTGGCACCAAATATAGATTTTGCTGATCAATAGAGCTGTGTCGTCTCACGATTCGACCATTTTTGTCACATATATGATGCACTAGTTAGCCTACCTCTTTGGGGGATTACCGGCATCAGAAGCTTCAACAGTAAGAGTATAGGTGACACCACCAACAATCTGTCCTACTATCTCTAGTTCACCATTATTAGGATCAACTGATACTTTACCAGCTTCATCGGGGTTCATCTTTATTATAGAATAGTCTATTTGGCTATTCTCATCACTGTCATCATCCTGTGCCATTACCTGAATTTAAAGATTTATAATAAAAGTAAAAGGACTATTTTGTCGCTAATTTCATCTTCCAAAGGTTCTATTGCGTGCATGCATTGCCAAGGTGTGCACAAGTGGGCCTCGGTTTTCGTGTCGCCCGAACGACTAGGCACATTTTCCAAATCAGCCATAAACGAGAAGCTGGCTTGAAAAATCCCGGGAGATTCTAGCCGAGAGGCCAGTGCCCCACTACTCGACCACCGCGACTCCCTTGAGAAGAAGAATAAAAACAAATAGAATGGTCTGGTCTTAATAATATCAGATTTCTGATTTTTGATAATTTATTATGCCTACCTGTACTACTACTTTGGGTGCTCCAGAATAATCTCCCTCTATAACACCAACTTCATATATAGAACTAGAGAATACAGGTGCGTTATCATTACTATCTATTATATCTACTTTAATATCAGCTGAGGCTTCCTAAAATAAAAAATATTATCCTTTTTGGTTATTAATTCAGATAGCCCGACTTGGTGCTTAAATTAGGTGCCATGAAAAAACCCCAACAATTTATTTCATTCAGTTATAAATTCATGTTTGTCGAGATTTTAATATACCTACAAATACATAAAGACAATTAAAAATACATTATCAGCCCATTATAATATTTGAAATATTTGTAAAACTTACCAGTCCTTTAGGATCTGTTGATGTGATAGTTAACAAGTAACTTTTAACGGATTCATAATCTAATTCCTTAGCTATTGATACAATGCCACTGAAATTCAATACAGATTTATGAACAGACGACGTACATTAGACCCATCCACGAAAAAAGAAATTCACATAAATTACACAGAAAAGTATTACATCGATAAAAGAAAAGAGCACTTACAAATTTTCGTCGATGGCGAATGTTTGTCCTAAATTGCCACGAGTTATTGAATAGGTCAGAGCATCTCCATCTGGGTCAGATGCCTGAAAAACACAAAGAGATCACTTTGTTATAAATGACATTTTAGATGTCAATCTAACTAAAACTATTTTCTATCCGTATATTCTTTTACCATTGACATTTAAAGACACATTTCAGGACTAACATATGGTTCAAATTTATTTCAATAAATCGCTTCTGCGTAGGGGTCTTTTAGAAGTGTGAGGAAACCGATGGACCCTGAGAAAAACAACGAGGCTGTACAAACCACGCCACTTGACTCAATTACAGACCCACCACAAGCTCGCACCCTCTTGAGAAAAGATACCACTACTACTAAGGTGATACTGTAGACCGAAAGTCGCGTTCTAGGAATACTATTATTCCCATTGAGTGGTAGGTTGATCTGTCGACCAATCACAGTCTGCAATATACCGAACGTACTCGATAAGGATATGTCTTTTGACTAAACAACCGAAAATGAAAAGAACGAAATGTTGGTATAATTCTAATAAGGCTGTTTAGATAATGGTCTCTTTTACAAGACAATTGGTAATTTGAGATACTATAATTTTACGTTTTATTTTATATAATATATTTCAAATTCTATAGGTATCACATTTCGTCCTGGTGGTTTTTAAATTATCTGAATAACTTACAAACACCAAATACTTACTGATAATTCCAATAACTGGGAATTGACTTTTTGATTTTCTCGAACAGCTATTTTATAATGAGATTGGGAAAAGCTTGGTTGACGATTTGGTTTAGCTTCAGAAATTATCTGTACAACCATAACTGAACTGAATTAAAAAACAAATACATTGCAATATTCACTCTAAGTGTCGATTGTTCATGCGTGGCGTTATTAATCTCTTGTTCGGACTAATCTAATTAGAATTGCCATGCCATTAAAAATAGAAGATCCGGATACCAACGAAGCAGTTCAGATATGACGACACTTGGTCAGTTAACACATATACCATATTTTCAGTTCTATCAGACATATTTAATCGGTACAATGAGACTTATGTAAACGTATCTATGAGACTTATGTAAACGTATCTATGAGACTTATGTAAACGTATCTATGAAACTTATGTAAACGTATCTATGGGACTGGTCTAAACGATTCAGTGAGATTTATTTAAACGGTTATATGAAAATTATCTAAACGGTTCTATCAGACTTATAATCGGTTCTACGATACTTATTTAAACGTACCTTCTCGGTGGATTACCATTGTCTACCGCCTGTACTCTGACATTATATACAGTATCAGGTGTAAGAGCACCAGTAGCCTTGATCACCCCAGTGTTACTATCTATTTCAAACAAATCTCCTTCATCAGGCCTCACATCTAATATAGAATAGGTTACTTCACCACCTTCACCAGAATCTGCGTCAGATGCAACCACCTACAATATTTATAAACACCAAATGGATTAACATAATACGCGTATGTACATATACCACCGGCGTTTGGATTTCAAATTATACATGAAAGAAAATACACAGAAGATACGGATTTGTTCCTAACAAACGCGGCCTAAAACATTATTGTCGCCGCTTTCATGCGCTACTAAAAAAAAACCCAACCTAACTATTAACATTGGTCCATTATTAGGGATCTCCATTAATTGATCAGTTCGTGAATACCATTAAAAGATTATGCTAAGAGTGAAAAACTATCTTTTGAACTCTGTACAGTTTACATATTTTCCAAATGGCGGCATTATAAAAAAAAACCCATCTTACTCTCAGATAATATCACCATTTACGAGATAAATATTACCCTAACCTAGGGTTGATATGTGGAATAACCCAAGGCCGGGGGAATTATAAAAAAAATCCCATCTTACTCTCAGATAATATCATCATTTACATGTAAATAATCATTACTTACCGTTCCAAGGGTTCTAGGTCCCGTTGAATAATCACCCTCTGTGATATTAAATTGAACAGATTTTTCACGGAACGTGGGAGCATTATCATTAACATCTTTTACATCAACAGTCAATGTTACTGTAGCTTGTCGGCGTTCTTCAGTATCAGCTTCAGTTACAGTTACCTATAAAATAATATTAAAAAAGGGAAAGACGATGTAATTATCAAAAAGGGCATTTAGCAGCGATACCCTATCCATAGGACCTGTACCATCCTTCCCGTGCTCGCGAGACCTTCTCGAAACTCTGGACAACTTAAGTCACGAGCACAGTACTAGAACTATACTATTAAGTCCTAATACACTTTTCTTGTAATTTAACTAGTATTCAGAGATAATGAAAATGAAATCATTAACTTACAGCCAGTCTGTATGTTGGAACAGCTTCATAATCTAATCTAGCTATAGTCTGTATACGTCCCTGATTATCAATCTTAAATACACTAGATGGTTCCAAGCTATATTCATAAACTTGTGGAGGATCATTTGGCGACTGGAATAGACGATAAAGAATATGAAAATAATATTTGCGGCGAAATCTAAAAACAAACCGCTTAATTAAAGGGGAATTGCCATATTTATTGAATAAAACTATCTTATTCTGGTCTGAAGCAACATCTAAAGCTCATTAAATGTTTTTAAAAGATATACCAACATTCAGTTGTCGGGTTAAATAAGAGACGAATATTCCTGGAAAAGCCTGTCTATAACACACGTGCGTTCGCAATGGTACCTTTCCGCTTTATTCTCGTAAATTTATTTTGCATGTTATTAGCATGTATAATATAATGTTCTGACTAAACATTCTATAGATATTGTTCGAGCTTTTTTTAAAAGAGAATTTTGGATTTAGGAGTTCTGTGTTTTGCAACATAGGCCACTGAAAAATTTGTTTAATATAATAACATACCACATCTGGATCTGTTGCTACAATTTTTAATACATTAAAAGTATCATCTTCACCACTGGACACAAACGTTCCTATCGGATCATTCTCTCGGATGTAACCATGGAGACTACCGGAAGCTGTAGATACAGATGGTGGGTTCAGATTGGTTTGTTCAACTGTTACATCCACTTCTGCTCTTGCTGATCGACTTTGTGCAGATATCTCGGTAGCCTATTGAATATATTCATAAGATAACATAATACATAGACTCCCAAAAGACCCCAGGTTCTTTCATAGACAATGGAAGTAGTCCGACATGTTATCTGATTTTTCGAAAATTCCACTTCAGTTTCAGCCCGACATTGTATTGTAAACACAATAATACAAGTAAAATTTTGTACGGGGTGGGCAGTCGGGGATTAAAATTTTTAAAAGAAAAATAATGTAGTAATAATAGACAAACAGTAGACATAATTGTTCCCAATGTTTGGACATATTAACAGGTTTTCATTGGAGGTAAGGGCTTTGTAACTGAGTGGGCAGCAGGGACTCCGAGTGATAACGGCCGAAGGGTTAAGGAACCACCCATCGATACTAAAGACTTACTTTGATAAATAATTTTAGTTTTCGAACATCTGATCTTTTGACTATTTTAACTTGGCTAATACGGGCGGTATATTCTGCATCATCTGTTGGACCACTGGTTTCTACCGTAAAGTAATCAACATAACCATCTGGAATGCCTGTAATCGAAACGAGTTTATACAGAATTAAAGATATGGAACATAAAATTAGCTGTACCCAGAAACAATAATTAACAATAAACGGAAAAGGAATCTCGAAATGCTGTCATATAGGCCTATTATCTGATATTCTTCTAGCCTATAGATAGTAGTTTGTAGACTATTAATAACTAAGCAGTAATATCTCCGGAGAGTTTCTTTACCATTTTGAAGTTTCTTTATAATGCTGCTATTATTAGTTTTCAATGAAGAAACTATGGATTAAAAGAAATGGATATAAAGTGTAAGAATCCAGTTAAAGTAAAACACCTAAAAATTCAAGCCTAAAATAGGTAACTTGAAGTCCCGATGCGCCATTTATAGGAATCACGTCTGCAAACTACAATATTGTGAAATATTGAATCTCTAATCGAAACATTAGTTCAAAATTGTTCAGTTCCCTTTAGTATTTACAAAGTTAAGTTTATTTAAAATTTCACTGATCTATGCAGCTCCTCGTAACAAGACGCCACCATCTTTTTTCGGTAGCCTAGAAACATGATCGGCCTAGTTTAAATCCGATTGAATCCAAGGGGGGGGGGGGGGGATTATTTAGGGTTGGGATTTTGATTTTGTTTTCTTAAATAAATGTTAAAGTTGCAATTGCAAATTTTCAAGTTATATTTTTAAAATGTATTAAAATAGAGCCTTAAAATAGATGGTATCCATAAACAGTCCTACCTTGTTAAAGAATAATCATATTAATTCTATAATTCGCTATTGCCAGCTGAGAAATTGGCAAAAATATCATTTTTAACTTCAAATTCCAACGTTGGAAAATGGCTGCCCCATGTTGTCAATAGCAAAACAGGGGAGATAATTGTGTTGTTATTTCCTGTGTCATAGATTTTTAAGGGTGGGAAATAATGCCCATGATCGTATAATAGTGATTTGATAACCTATTGAGCAAAAGACATAGAAATAATTATGTTTTGACTTTCTTAGAAAATTTGAAATTCTCGCTTTAAATAATCAATCAAAGTACATAATTAGCGTGTATTTAGAGAAAATTTATATTTTAGTGAAAATGCAAATGGCGCATCGGAACTTTAATACAATACTTACTCTGATCTACAGTAAATAATATAGGATGATTCAAACTATCCTGGTCTCTAGCTATAATATTTACATTAGTATTCTGTTTATTGGCAGGTACCGGGAATACTGATAATGTACCAGACTACAACAAAATATTTTAAAAAGTAAACTTAGAAAAAAACTTCCAACATGGTCTTATATATATTTACATACAAGTTGTGGATTAATATCAAAAAAGCTCCATTCATTCAGATACTCGATGATTTGGAAGATTTATATTTGGCGATTTTTAGCTAAGCACTGGTTTGTGATTTCTAGAACGCAAAAAGTTAATAATGTTTTGGATCATATACATACCATTGTGATAAATTACTTACCACTATTCCAGATTCGATGGAAGTTGTATATCTAGGATTGTTACAAACACCTGATGACGTCAGACAGGTATCGTAGACAAACATTGGTCCTTGATCATCACTATCGGAAATAGTTATTTCTAATGACGTATAACTTGTTCTTCTTTCATCTGATGGTGCACTATCCTTTAATGCGAAATAAAATATAAGCATAATTCAGTTATCAACATCAATATAAAAGGCATACACATATCATCTCTTATATTATCAAAAGCTCTTAAAAAAGCCAAGTCTTTAACTCAGAACGCAGTATCATCTAGCCATATCATAAGTTATATCAAACGGGGACGGCTTATTATCATCTGGATCGGTCGGTCCTGGCGTTTAATGTCCACTTCCACCAATATGCGCAATAGATACTATCGTTGTACACTGGAATAACCAGACGCTAGAGATTGTCATTCAATTCAGACTTCTCGCGTATTTCTCCGAATGTAACTAATTTTGAATTAAGGGAAAAAAGGAAACGATTGAATGTAAATCAGTGTATATACATTCATATTACTATTATTATATGCGTTGCGACCCATTTGTTTCAATTTCTAGGTCCCAAATATGGGCGAATTAGCTCCTTTAAATAACTTATATCGTCTACAATGGATGCTTGGAGGAATTTCTGCCGTTTCTTTCAAATTCTCCAACAACGGCCAGGCTCTATATAAACAGATTTATTCTAAATATTTACAGCGAGTCTATGACTATGGGCTAGAGGAAATGAAATGAAATGGTGTTTACCGTCCTCCTTTTCTGCTCCTTCCGAGATAATGAAGATAGGCATAGAACATTCAATGTGCTTTGAGGGAACTTTTGCCCAGATAGCGGCGCTACGGCCTACTCTTATTAGAAATTTCAATTGGCAATGGTTATTTTACATGCACGCCAATATGTACACGGACCTTGGTTTTTCGTCTTATCAGAACATCTGCACCACAGAAAACGGGAAACCATGCCGGAAAATACTGAGGAACTCTCTCGGTCAACACTGGGATCGACCCCATGACCTCCAGGTTAATGAGCCACTGAGCTACTTCCGGGAAGAGGAGGGAGGTACTTGAGAAATTAACTTACTGATGCTGTAATATTTAGCAAAAATGTCTGGGTTGGTAGCGATTCAAAATCAAGTGGTCTTGTTAATATTATTTCACCAGATGCTGGATTTATATTGAAATAGCTACTTATATCACCCTAGAAACATAAGAATGTACAGTGTTTTATAAAATATAAATCTATTTTGTAAATCATTTAAATACATGTATGATTCTCGAATAACCATCCCAATGCCTCCTTCATAATACTGTCTTTTTAATTACCGTAGTTTCAAAATAGAATTTATATTTGGAACAGGAACTAGTCCCCAAGGCTACTCAACTTGTTCTTCTTTGGGAGACGCTCTTCGAAAAAAAGGCTAAGGCTCCACCACTTCAAGTACGGTCAACAAAATTAATATTGAAGTTTAATATGGAGTCACAATTGCAAGATGTCGACGGCGATGAGGTCATGATCGGTTCAATTTTCAAGGTCCATATAGTACTGTTGTACGTGTGTTAAAAAAGAGAGGTTATTATACATACTGAACTGCCATCACCAGGAGCAATAGCATATATTATATCACCATTATCACCAGAATCTTTATCTGTAGCTGACAAAGAACCATAAACAATTTCTCCAGGACTAGCACGCTGCAATGTATAATACAATACACATATAATCACATATAATCAAGCAGCCAATCACAGAAATTCGAGCTACATGTAAGTAATGTTCTGTTTAACAAACAGTCAAAGTATCACTTTCATATCTGTGTATTGTGCACTGAAAGAATACATTTACCCAGTTTTGATAGACAAATATAATATTACAAACATATCATGTACATGTATATATCAACAATTATTTATATTCATGGATAAGAAAAACAATCCTTTTACGGAAAGCCATAATTAAACCTGGCATGCAGAATATGACAATATGTGTGATAAAATCACACCCTGTCCGACGACTCACAGTGTTACAATTGAAATGTGGTGAAGTATTGATGACTGTCGCAGATTTAAAACTTCTTTACCGATAACACGACTTACCTCATTTACATTAAGTAAATATGGTGAATCCTCAAATTGTGGTGCATTATCATTAATATCACCAATATCCACACGTATTGGGAAATATAAACTCTGCAAAAAAAAAAAAACAACAAGTGTATCAACAATATCAATATCAAGTGTCCTCTTTTTAGTTATACTGAGAATATCATCTGATATAAAATAATATCATTTACACATGTTATTTATACTGAGAATATTATTTGATATAAAATAAAATAATTTACGCTTTAGATTCCATGTCTGAAGAAAAGTTCATTTAAAAACTAATAACTTACTGCTCCCGTTTCTTTACATTTAATAGTAAATTCCACCATGTTAGTGTCGTCGTTCTCAGATACACTGCTACCCTGCAAAACATACGTAATGATCATTTATTATCTTAAAGATACATTATGGGAGATTTTTATAGAGAGTTGGCCATTCTTGCTATAACAGTTTAAAAGTAGATGATGAAAGAAGAATATATTGAAAATTTCAGTCAAATTACTTTATTCTGAACATAGTTATCATCGTTGTAATATTTGCCTAGAAATGGTAGCGAAATGTGTCTTCACCTTCGCCGAACGTTTGATTGACAGGCGTTAACTCCACCTACATATCTCGATTATCAAGTAAAGTTTTCAATGGCATACGGAAACGCTCTACAGCGGCCTCGCTAAGTACACTCTATCATTTAGCCTCGATCTAACTGACGTATTTTCATCAGGTTGCCCCATATTTGATTTAATCAATTAGTGAAATCCTATTTAAATCCGAGCTGTAGCCGGGCCATCCGTGGGTCTACAGAGTTGATTTTGGGCTTGTTGTTTAAATAAAGATCTAATTTATAATTTTTATAACATCTGAAGCCTAAATTAAGACTTGCAATAATCAGATTTAGTTCTTGCATAATGTATGTTTAAAGATACCATAATAATAAAGATTTGTTAGTCATGTGATCTCTTCAAATAAGAACTAGTATCACGTGATCTAGACATAATAAACACATTCTGTACTGTACACAATATCGCCACTACTTATAGCTGACTGAAACCATAGCTGGAACCAGCAGAGTCACCAACCTAGAGGTTTACATAAAACAGTACTATAAGTATAAGCATCGCAACAGTGCATAGGCACTGCAATAGAACTATTGTCATACTAATAGTCAATTTAACTATTTCGTAGGCCATAAAGAGACTTCAATTCTAACAAATTGCATATTATCATCAGTATCGTTCGGTGTAATATTGTTCGTCGTTTGATGTTCAGATGTTAAACTTTTACAAATGGATTAATTCAAGTATCTTTTTGTTTTCTTAATGCCATTCTGGTTACTTTTAGTATTGGTACCGTATAATATATAGTGTTACTATTATTATTATTATTTCTGTGAAGGACTTCCAAGACTTCAACGTTATGTTCGACATTCTGGACTGTGTCTATGCTGCTTTTCTGTGTTTATGACGGGCAGTGTGTATTTTCTAATCACATTCCTACTCGACAAACTGTTATTCATTTCTATTAAGAATGATTTAAATCGTAACTATTAAATAATACAGTTTTCTCACATACGTCTCTATCAATGGGCTGAATCATCGTCAGATATTGCTGGCCATTTTGTGCTATGAGTTGAAAATAAGAATCGGGATTGAAACCACCATCACTAATCATAGATAACTGTACACCATCATCTAAACCTATATATTTAGTATAAATAGCACTATTATCTGAAATATAAAATGAAAAATGCACGAGTCAGTAACACAATTTAATGGCGGTGTCTTGGAGAAAGTATGGAGTGAAAAAAATTAACAAATGACAACTATGTTATCAGGACTGTTTCGTTCAATTCGGAACATTGTGTTATGTACATTCTAAAGTGTACGGCCGTTTAAATCATGGGTGGCCAACCTTTTACATACCATGTGTAAATTTGTTCCCACATTAATTCGGATGCGTTATGCAACCCATAGTCATCTCTGGTTTAGACTATCATTTTACTATAATAACACCCTACCTTCAAGTTCTGATGCAGTATTGGCTTCCGGCATGGTGATATGAATATTTCCACCAATAAATGACGGTTCATCTGTTAATTTACACCCAGCTTTAAATAAAATATCATACACTTTAAGAATAATATTATAGTAACGTGTATATGTATGGTAGAACTTCATACCAAACGTCTCTCCTTTACTAAATATGCTATTCCATTGGTACAAGCTCTCTTAAAGAAGAGGTATAGATGAGGGTTGTGGGGGGGGGGGGCGTTTCTATAACTTGTCCTAATGACGCAAAAGTACACCAAAAAGTGTTATCAGGTGATATAATTACATGTTAGATAAGATATTGATTGGCTATTCCCATAAGACACAATCGTTGACATATTTATATGACATTGTAAATCAATTTCATTTATTTTTTTCAAAAATTTATTTCCTCTTATAAATTGTGTTTCTTCTTATGTTTTACCTGTTGGTTTTAGGGTTGTTGGTGGAGCTAATGTTGTTGACCTTAGTATGGTTGCTTCTACAATCTGATAACTTGTTCTTCGTTGATTTTCGTGCTTTGGACTATCCTGTTAACGTAAAGGGCATGGCCTTTAATTAGGATTCATTATTTATTCTCATTCTGTATTGAATGGACAGTACAACTTATTACATACGTATATTTTTTATATTGACCGTTATAAATTCCCAATATCTGACCATTGGAAACCAGGTTTATTCTAGAGAAATCAGAAACTAAAATATACTTACAGAAACAGATACGTTGATAAATAGAGTTGTTGAACCGAATGATTTTAAAGTATTGTAATCAACAGGTGATGTCAGACTAATATCACCATTCTCAATCACAAAATATCTACTAGCATCTAACTGAAGAAAAAGTAAGATGAACCAACTGTTTTTATTAATGAAAAAATATATTAAGGAAATATTTGGTAGGTAGTATTCAATAAAAGATTCTGTTATTCTTCAGTTTCTTATTCAAAATGCGTTAATTTGTATTTCTATCAAATTACAAAGTGGAAGTTTTATTTTACGTTAATGTAGATTAAGTCGCTTCATACAAAGTTGTACTTTACCGCTTTTCAATGCATATATTATACGTACCACACCCCCGTTACCAGGAACAATACCAAAAGACACCAGATTATTAACACCACTATCAGCATCAGATATAATAGCATGATCATATAATTCATATACTACAACAGGTAAATCTGATTCCTTAAAATACTAAAAAATAAAACACAATATAAGTTTAAAACAACAATATCACCAGATGCATGAACTTTAAAATTAAAAGACGTATCTTTAATAATCATATCTAGTTAGAAAAGTACAAGATGCAAGCGACTTAGAAAATTATCATCCCCACTGGGGCTTCCAGACACGGGCGTATTAAGGTTGGGTGGGGTGGGGATATACTTAAATTCTTTTATTTAATTGTGCGTTGCGCCATCTCACATTTTGGGATTCCTACACGTGCCTCTGCTTTTAGAAACGTTTAACAAATATCAAAGAAAATATCATTTCGTAAATTTATAACAATTCTATTCAGTAACAGAGTTTCATTGGCGTTTAAAGGTAACAATGTGATTCAGTTCATGGTAACAAACGTCATACTGGATTAATCAGTGATAATACGTATTGTACACTGTTAGTCCACCTTGTATAAATATTTACTGACATCCCGGGAGGCAGGTATGAAAACCGTTTACACATTGAGTTTACTCACTGGCAATCTGTAGGGATTATAATACTTACATCATACAGTTCAAATTGGAAGTCAGAGCCTTCTATCACTGGTGAATTATCATTTACGTCGGAGACAAAGATATGTAGCGGGTAAATCTGAAATAAATTAACATGGTCATATCAATCATCAATATATTTATGTTCGACTTTACATTCACTTCATTCTAAAATTTTCTTGTTTTGTCACTGACATGAAATCGCTAGATGTGCATGGTTTTAAATAGCTATATTTCAAAACTGTATCACTTACCACAAATCTATTTCCATACATACAAGTGAGATTAAAATTTAATTCATGTATACCATCATCAGCATGTTGACTGTTCTGAAAGAAAACGAAAATTGGGAATGTGTATTACTCGACCAATTTAAATATCAAATAACCTTCCTTAAACATGCATTATGCAAGAGCTAAATCTGATTATTGCAAGTCTTAATTTAGGCTTCAGATGTTATAGAAATTATAAATTAGATCTTTATTTAAACAACAAGACCAAAATCAACTCTGTAGACCCACGGATGGCTCGGCTACAGCTCGGATTTAAATAGGATTTCACTAATTGATTAAATCAAATAAGGGGTAACCTGATGAAAATACGTCAGTTAGATCGAGGCTAAATGATAGAGTGTACTTAGCGAGGCCGCTGTAAAGCGTTTCCGTATGCCATTGAAAACTTTACTTGATAATCGAGATATGTAGGTGGAGTTAACGCCTGTCAATCAAACGTTCGGCGAAGGTGAAGACACATTTCGCTACCATTTCTAGGCAAATATTACAACGATGATAACTATGTTCAGAATAAAGTAATTTGACTGAATTTTTCAATATATTCTTCTTTCATCATCTACTTTTGAACTGTTATAGCAAGAATGGCCAACTCTCTATAAAAATCTCCCATAATGTATCTTTAAGGCAGAAACTTCTAATGCTGACGTATTTGATTCGAGTAGATGTACAATGTTATTTTCGGGAGTCTGTTTGGGAATCTATAACATATTCTACTCACATCTCTATCAACTACTTCTGTAAATCGAATGTAGTAACCGGCTCTTTGTCCATTAGAGAGATAATCGATCTGTACAAGGTTTGATTGTGGTTCTAATCTTAGGTTTGTTACTTTGTTCTCTATACCAATAAACGTTCTGTATTTTGATGGATGATCTGAATTTAAAAAAAAGTCATTGACATACAATATAAACAATAAAGGGTACATGACACAACCTTGTATAATATCAATTAGTTTCTGGCATAATGTATTAAGCAGCGGCACACGGGAATTTTCCTGACTGACTGCTTAACTGAAGTGACCTCTTAATAAAATCTCAGTGTTTGTTAGTGCAGATGTCAAGTAACTTTTACGCTTGGATGCATTGTGAACACCAATACTTGCATCAGTAAATTTGGCAGTCGCTGAAACTTGCTTTGAACGAAAATTCTTTGACTCAAATCTCTGATGTAAACGTGTCATTTTGTACCAACATTGATACTGCTGTCTACCATCGTGATGTATTCGATAATATTTATCCATTTTTGTAAGGAAAATCCTTGAATTAATTTTATTTCATCGCTAAATTTTTCACCGAATGTCAGGGGGTATAACTCTGTATGTAATATAGGAGGCGCTAAAACTTCTGTATAGCAACAAAGTGGCAATGGAAAATAAATACTATATGATCGTGACAAAACCCGGCTTTGTCGTTACTTATACTTTATTTAATCAGTATTAAATAATGTTTCTCGTTACGTGTGAAAACAATGATCAGCAGATCAGGGTTTGTCATTTAATAAAACAAAAGATTAATTAACAGATAATCCCGGGTTTATTGTTATTTTCACAGTTCTTTTTACTTGATCGGTGGGGTCCAGACAGTTAACTATTAATCACGAGATTAGCGGAGGTGCTACGAAGTAGGACAAGAGGGTATCATTCAACAATGGTCGTTGAAGGGGCGATGTTTTGGTAAAATTATAACTAAAACAGTGACCACTGGCCGCGTTAATTAAAAAGATAAAACAATAGAATTTCTACGGGGGGAATTTATCGTAACCGCCTACAAGGAAATGTCGCTGAATAGGAGTGGCTGCTCGTACAGATTCTACTGTATATATGAGTATTATGTTTAGTATATTTACCCTTAAGATAGAAACTTAATAGCAATCATCAATGACAATCATTATTTCATGTTTACATGGGTACAAGTTCATTCGCTTCTCAAATGTCGGTAAACTAACAAATCGAGGAATTTTGATTTCTCTTTTTCAAAGTGTAAACGCTGATTTGTCTAGATGTCAAAAGAGTTTATTGCGTTTCTATAATGACACATTGGATACATCTGTTGAAACAAATCTACGTTACCGTTACGCAGACATATTTACCATTAAGATCTGATTCCGAAATAACTTCTGGTAGTTTAACTTTTATTCTTCCATCAGCAAAATCTGCTCCTTCTACTAACTCACAGTTTCCTGAAATATGATGAAATGAATGTGAGATGTCATGGCTTGCGACGACAAAATTAAATATCAGCAACATCTTATTCATCAGAATGACTTTCTCACAACGAAATACTTTATTATTCCGTTCTTTAATGGCCATAGTAATGGATTTATAAAGATCAATTTTTGGCTATTCTTTACAATTCATATATCTTCTGTCTAGTGGTTTCCTACCAGATATAAAGACAGGTGCCACTGTTGTTGTCGTTGGTGTTCTATCCCTTGCAACTGGTATTGCCTCTTCTTTTTCTATCGGCTGTCCATCATAATTAATATTAACTTTAACAGAACTATCTGTTCTTAAACTTTTGACCCCCATGTCCTAAAATAAAAAAGTATCCATTTTGATATTTCAAATACTTTGACTATCAGCAATAGTTGAATCAAAATAAAAATTCATAACGCCTATTTGTGGAATGACATGCCAAGGATTTATACCAATGTCATCTTAGCCATGATATAGCAGTCATCAATACATACCTTCAGATAAATATTTTTGGGGATATAAATGGCTAGAAGGATCGGGTGAGCAAAATAGATACCTTTCAATATACACATATTAATAGAATATCTTTATGTAGAGTAAGTGTATCTAATCATTCATCGGAAATTAAATGGGAATAAACCCTTGCTTTTCGGGCTAATGAAGACGGACATACACCATGCAGTGTGCTGTGATTGTAAGGCACCATGTAGTGTGCTGTGTCTGTAAGGGAAATTCTGCCCTGGCAGCGGCACTATGGCCTACCTTTATTTCGATTTGCAACTTCTAGGGGATTATTAATTTGCTGCGAATGGTATACTCAGGACCTTGGTTGTTCGTCTCATCCAATAGGCTAGACGTTTTTCCATGATACTCCCTATTTCCTGCACCACTGACAAGGGGAAGGCGACTTCATCATTAACTCACCGTAGTAGGATTGAATCACCAACATGGAGAACATATAGTTATATAAGTAGGAAATATGAGCTAGCTTAAGTTAAATAGCCAAATTACAGGCAGGTATAATGATGATACATGCGACCTCACTACATGTATATTATAAACATCAAACAATACAAGTAGATACACTCTACTCTTTTATATGAAGCCGTGGGTGTGGAATACTGATTTACTGTCGATGTTAATGGAAAGACAAGGCGTGCACTGAACGTTTGCCAGCTCCGCATTTTGCTGACTACAATGTTGATATGCAATACAGAGTTAGATCTCGAAGGCTACACCTTCGCAGCAAACGTCATCATCCATTTTTAATGATTCGTGTGTACCGAATGACTGCCACGTGAGGGAGCAGAAGGCAACAAAGCTCGATTACTGATTAACGAAAATGGCTGCTAAGAAAATACCATGAAGTTAACACATGTATATTTATACCTCGTAGAAGTTCAAACTCTCTATAACGATTTACCTAACCATGATAGTACACCAGTCAGGTGTTTCATTCTACGTGTATGCCACTTCAAGACAGATTCCAAAATTAATCCTATTTTGACATTAAATAACAGGCGTGTTTTTTCACTTAGGGTGTAACATGAAAATCAGGGACATTTCTTCACTCAGAACTGAGGAGTAACCTCTGCCTAATTTTTTGCCACATTTTAGAAGTTTATAAATAGCTATATGTATCTGTCCTTATCCATTGACATTTAATTGTTTAATGTTAAAACAATTCGATTGTCTGGGATAAAAAGCACCAGTAAGAAATATCTGCAGAAATGTAACCGCCTATTTTCTTGTCTAAGTTTAGCTTACTAGTATATAGTAAGTATAGCAAATATTGTTTGTTGCACTCGGCTGACCTCGACCTATTTGTTTATGCCTTTGAAAGTCGCCATCTTGAACCAATATGCTTGGTCTCATATTCAAATCCACAGAAGGTATTATTCAACGAAAAGGGTGTATATTAAGATGTTGGTGAAGGACACATAATTTTCGAAATTAATATTTACCATTGCAAATATATTGAGAGTCATGGAGGTTATCCCTTCTCGTTTAAATGCATCAATATTGATATTTTTCTTGAGAGATAAAGCACCACTAGAGATGACAGCAAACTGGAAATATTGACTGGCATCATTCTAGAACAAAACAGATATGACATCTTTATTACATGTATACTGTTCTTTAATTAATAAGAAAACGTACGATTCTTCTATATAGACCAGAAAACCAGCATGGCATCATCGCCGTCATTTTTGAATTGTGGCAGCATATCATGCCGATCGTACTTAAATTGACGGAGCCTTAAGCTATATTCGAAGAGTGTCGCTCCAAAGAAGAACATGACCAAGAACAACAACAAGAGGAGCAGCGCTCATTTTCTGGTACAAAAAGAACGATGAACGACCAGGTAGTTAGTTAGATCTTTGAATTCTGGGCTTTTAATAATAAATGCTCATGTAACCTTCCAGAACACTAGAAACTTCCAAATGCCCTCGACGCCTAACAGAGATGGTTATCAATTCAAAACGATTTGTTTTCGTACAAACGATCATATTCCTATCAGACTTTCAGATGAATAGATAAATGAATAATATTTACCAGTTCACCGGATCCTTTTTGTATTCCATAAACAACATGGCGGTTTCTATCTATATCTTTATCTGTTGCTACCAGTCTTGTTAAGGTTGCTCCCAGAACAGTAGCCTACAATAAAGCCATAAAATATGGAATCAAAATAATCACTTGATAATTGGGTATTAATCCTTTTTTTATTTTAGCAGATTATAATAATTTTACTTACCCTATTTACTGAGATTTCGAATGGTTCATTTCTAAATGCTGGTGGATTATCATTTAAATCTTGTATTCTAATTAATAATGGATAATAATATTTCTGAAAAAGATCAATACATTTATGTTAAAATATTATTCAAGATCTCACTCGACAAGATAATAAACATGCTTGAGAAGCTTTTATGAAGAGGAAAATAGTTTTAAAATAACGACAATGTCGTTGACTTGATTACCTATTACTTATTTGTCTTGGAATAACTACTGACTCATTTATTTCATTTATATTATATCATATTACCGTACTTACATTTGTAGTATTTAGCTCTGTACAGACGATTGTATATTCTAATATATTATTATCATCGGAATACTTAGATGTTGGGCCCTGTTGAAAAAAATAAGAGATTGGCGCCTTTGATTTTAAAACTTCCTAATAAAGTAAATCAATTTTAAGAAGAAATTTCTTAAGATAATAATTCATATTTATCGGAAAGTCTTCAAAAAATCTTTATGGGAGACAAATAAATTACATTAAACCCCCATTATTTAAAAAAAATAGTCATAATAAAAGGCATTATACCGGTTCAGAAATGAGTAAAATCGCCCAATACTAACGGAATTTATGGCCATCTAAAGCTTCGATACTCCTATTGATCATTTTGCTCTTAAACTGGTCGCTGGAGGCTAAAGGATCGCTCATTTCTATATATGAAATTTTGTAACCCTTAATACAAGGAAATTATGAGAGAGAGAGAGAGAGAGAGAGAGAGAGAGTTTTAACGTCCAATCGACACAACTAGGTTTCGAGACTAACACATGGTTCCATTTTATTTCAATAATTCGCTTGTGCGTAGGGGTCTTTAGCAGTGGGAGGAAACCGGAGGACCCGGAGAAAACCCATGAGACTGGACAGGCGACCCTACTCCTTGTCACCTACATCCGGGGAATCGAACCACGCCAGTCAACTCAATGACAGACCTCATGATACAGCGCGCATGTGCTAACCATTCGGCCATCCAACACCACCAGGGAAATTATGTATTTGGACTATAGAATATATTTTGCTTTTTAATATTGATTACTTGGTTTCAGAAATTTAATGAAAATTTTAACATTAGCTGCTTACATCTCTATCTACGGGCCCCGTTCGCTGTATTAAATAACCATGATTAAAATCAGCTATTCCTATAAAAATTCTAAAATTTGAATAAAAATCTACAGTTGGGTCATCTTGCTCTACATCTAGCTTAATGGTGTCAGCAGTTCCTGCAAATCCCAGGAACCTCTTCTCGTAGTTATTAGAATCACCTGAAAAGTAATAATCAAAGCGTGTCGGTATCTATTTTTGTTTCTTATAATATATAGACATCAGTTTGTGGAGGTCCAAAAGGAAATGGGATAAGTTGTGTTAAATTGGGATAAGTTGTGTTTAAAAGGGATAAGTTGTCTTAACATGGGATAAGTTGTGTTAAAATGGGATAAGTTGTCTTAAAATCGATAAAGATGTGTTTAGTTGGAATATCTTTGTTTTAATGCAGTGTTTAAATGGGATAAGTTGTGTTTAAATAGGATAAGTTATGTTTTAAATCGAGTACCCTCTTCAATATGTGTAATTGGTATAGAAACAGTAATTACACAAACATTACCCTCTTCAACATGTTTACTTTGGTAGTACATGTAATTAGTCAGTGGAGAATGGAAATGGGATAGGTTGTATTAAAATGTAATCGGTTACATTATTTCCCTATTCAACATGTGCACATAGAAACAGTAATTTCTCAGAGGACAATACTAAATATAGGATTGGGATCTATAGTGCAATGACTTACCCTGTCGTCCCTCTGTTAATGTTACATCTATTATAAATACATTTTTCTGTAAACTACAGCCACCTGGAAAATATATAGATCATTATATTATTCAAAACACGATACCCATCCGATTTCTTCCTCTACATACGTCCACACACAGTTGGTCATTTAAGGTTTCAGTGTCAGATTTATTACAAAGTGTTAAAGCCTGATTAAATTTTATCAGCTGTCTGCTTCAGTCCTAGAAAGAATTACCCCCCCCCCCCCCCAACGAAAAAATGTTGAAAATCGAAACACCAATTTTACTTATATATTAATATATTATAATGGGTTTATTGTTCGTCGAGAGACATATATAAATTGTACTGAGTTGTAACCAATAAATTGTTCAGCTGTTTTCAATAAACGAAAACTAACGCATCAAATGGACCGCAAATCCCAAATAACTACCGATCTGTAATCGATATACCATACCCGAAGTAATCAAATCAGCACGTTATCGTTAGATAATTCAGATGTTATGGCCCTTTAAATTAAAGAACAACCAACTATAAATAATATATTAAAACGGCTTAGTTTTTAGAAATGGAATGAACTGGGGTTGAAAGTCCAACTTTTCTGCACCGAATAATGAAAACAGGAATATACATGTACACCATACGGTGAGCTTTAAAGGAAATGTCCGCCTACTCTTCATCGAATTCCATCTGTGTGTGCAATCCTATCGAATAGACACTGTTTCTGCACCACTAATAGCGGAGAAACTTTCTTTGAAAACCCAAAGGAACTAACACCGGCATGGTTATTAGTAAGACAGTGACATGAAATGAAATGAAATAAAATGGGGTTTAACGTCCTACTTTTCTGCTCCGAACGGGGCTAATGAAGACGGGCATACGCCATACAGTGTGCTATGAGGGAAATTTTACCCGGACAGTGGCACTACGGCGGCCTACTCTTATATCGAATTCCAACTGTCAAGGGATCTTTTACGTGCACGCCAATGTGTACACGGGATCTTGTTTTTTTTAGACCGTCCGAATGACTATAGACAGTTGTCCTTGTCAGGCCTTCCCACCAACTTAGCCACCGTGGCCCCCGAGACAGTGACATGTTCAATGAGCAATAGTGACTCTATTTGAAAATTAATCAGTTGGGTTAGATCAAATCAAATAAAAAGATCTACTGAAAGTGATCAAAAGAAATACTATACCACTATTAATCTACAGAATTATTAAAATCGAATAGAATTACTTATCTAATCATATAACATAAAACGGATCTAATCAATTATTATCAATAATTTTGATACATGTTCTTAAATTAAAAATGGTGTTATCCTAAATTAACCGTAATCAAAACAAAATCAAAGGATGATATAGTATTACATATAATTGATTACATATTCAATCATTCAAGATAAAACAGTTTACTGTATCCAGACATCTGTTTATGATTTGTTTGAATTATATACTGTACTTAAGATGCTAGAGGTTAACCAATGGTTAAATAAAATATCACATGTTTACTCATCTCATTCATCAACGATAAAACGGAAACGCCAAATATATATACACCGCTGTCAATATAGCTAGTTTAATTGCTGAAAGATTTTTTGATATAAGTGAAAACGTATTAATAGTTTAAATACATCCTGGAATAAACATTTTGTTGTGTCCATATGGTGTACAAAACTTAGCTACAGACCATTTACACCAGAAATGTCGATTTGAATATTTTTTATAATATGAAGTCAGTTCTAACATAAATTTGAAATTGATCGCAACTAAAGTAGAGTACCTTTACTGCTATTTTTTGTTCATCGGAATTCTCCGGCGTGGTTCTCTCTTGTCAGTGATGTAGAACAGAGTTCCCGGCAAAGGACAACGTATAAAATAGTCGTTCGGATGGGATGAAAAAACCGAGGGACCGCGTACAAATTGGCATGTATGTAAAAGGTACCTTGGCAGTTGGAATTCGATATAAGAGTAGGCCGTAGCGCTACTGCCCGGGCAAAATTTCCCCCAATTTACATGCTCGTCTTCATTATCCCAGTCGGAGCAGAACAGAAGCACACTAAACCATTCCAGTTCATTTAATTCAATTTTGCTACTACCTGGTTATAACGAGAAAGAAGAAACATTTGACTAAACTGGGCTATACTCTTTAATATCAACGGTAGTTGTTCGCTATCCTGACCCCAAAAGCATGTTTATTCCCATATCGAACACAAAGAAGAAATACCCGGTTACTGTAACCATATTCAGTTATGGTTGTCTGCTTTTCCGCTGGATGGCGCACCGCTTTAAAAATGCATATCTCATTGGGCTTATATTAAGGATACATTATTTAAGAGCTAAATTTGCCTGTTGCAGACCTTTCTTTAGGCCTTTAATGTTATATAAATTAGACATTTATTAAGATGACAAGACCATAATCATTTCGCGATGCCATCGGATACTCAAGATTTTAATCAGATTAGAAGAGTTCGGCTATTTAATGATTTAAATTAAATATGGGGAAGCAAGGCTAAGCCTCGAATATACCAGCACCGTGGTTACGATAAATCACAATCAATACACACATCTTGTCAAAACTACAAACAGTGATAACTTGGCTCAGAATGAAGTAATTTGAATGAAATTTTCAATATATTCATTTTGGATTACCTAATTTTGAACTATTATAGCAATAATGACCAGATCTTTATCTAAATCTTACATAATGTATCTTTAATGGATTGTAGACAAATTTCAAATCCCAGGTATCCTATTCGTTCGAAGCCATTGTAGTTCTACAATGCATACGCGTTCTATGAACTGGATTTGAACGTCTGGTCATTTTGAGACTAACATGCAGTTATGTTTATTAGCACAACCGTAAGGCTGCACTACTCTTTGTTTCACGGTAAACGATGAATATATTATATAATAAAGCATAAAGTCCATAACAAGAACGCCTAAACTGATTGGACTTCCTAGAAAAAGTAGTCAAAATAACAATATTCAAAAGCAGTATCAGGTCGGCATGCAAGTTACCCTTCGCCACTCCCACTTATTATAGCAAAGCGACGTGATAATCTGTGACTCTGGGACATGTATACACGGAAATACACGAAAGAGTTATGTAGTTTTCGGCTGACGATAGATGTATAGGTAGATATGTATTTAAATCGATTTGCAAAAGTGAAAAGATACTGACATGATGAGTAATTAGTAAGAAGTACACAATATGTTTTTATAGATCATTTTACATCACGATAGTCTGATAGTAGATAATAAGCTTGACACCATGCCAAAATTACAAACTCTTTTCATCGTATCTATTGTATGACATATGAGATGAAAGGTGTACTACAAAAATACTAAGTATTTTCCATTATTTTGGCTTCTTTCCTGAAAACATCCATATTGGATTAAATCTACCCCGAAATTATTCTTTTATTTACTTGACGACCTTTTCATTGACTCGTAACATAGGTATTTGGTCAATGACATTTTGACCTTTGCCATTATCAGTATCGACATTAACAGGTAAGTAAACAGCTAATATTAGTATATATTCCTGAACGGTTATTATTTTTTTTTGCTTTACAACAAGGGATAATCTTGTTATCGCCATGATATATTGGTTAAACAGGCTTTATGACTATGGTCTTTCAGCGAAATTATTTTCATACATTATGATATATACAGTGTCACAGTGACCCGTACATATTAAAACGATTACCATCATTGCAATATAAACAAAACATGAACACATACGTCGAAATACAGAAAATAATCATGGTTATTAAAGAATATTATTAAAACCATTCTAATGAAATGCATAGAACAGATTAGTTACCATGCTGTTTATTATGTTTATTCGTTAGAAAGACGTTGGTAAGTAAGAAGCTAATACCGTATAATACAGTACCGTATAATACAGTAACTAACCAGTACTGTTTAATAAAGTAACTAGCCAATCCCGTATAATACAGTAAATAGCTAATACATAATGATACAGTAACTGGCTAAGTAGATAATACCGTGTAATACAGTAAGTAGATAATACCATGTAATACAGTAACTAGTTAATACTGTGTAATACAATAACTAGCTAATACCGTATAATATGGTAATTAGCTAATACCTTATAATACAGGAACTAGCTAGTACTGTATAATACAGCAGTACCTAGCTAATACTATTTAATACTGTATAATAACTAATTGATGGCGTATAATACAGTACATAGATGATGTCACTTGAGATACTGTATAATACATAGTTAAGATACGCAACTATGTACTAGAGTTAAACTATTTAGATACAGATGCCGTGTAGTCAATATAACTATCTGAAACCATATAATACAGTATTAATTAATACTGCAGTGCATACTTAAGCCTGGCGCACACTACGCGACGACATAGGCGATTTCGGTCGCCGACGATAAAAATCAAAAACTCGCCTAGTGTGCGCACATGATCGCAAGCGATATTTCGTCGCCGTTATCAGACTTGTTTGATATGATCGCCCAAGTCGTCGCTTCATCGGCATCAAATCATGTAATGTGCTCACCTCGGCGACAAGTTAAGCGACAACGAAGAAAATAAATTCACCTATTAAACCAATCATTTTTGGTTATTCTTCTCATGTGACATAACCACACACGAGATATTTCAGAATTTTTTTCTGTTGCATGTATAAGTGACTAGGGTAATCTAATTTAGCCCTAAGTAACTAACTGAAATTAAGTTTGGAATTCTGGCATAAGCTGTCGAATACATGTAGGCAGAGTGGATTGTTCCGTCTATATAGCAATGTACTCAATAATGATATAGTCCCAGGATTCATAGATGGTAATTAGAATGGGCGTTTTTTCTCTCCAGTACCTGTAGCGAGAAAACGGAAAGTGATCGTCAATCGCTCACCTGAGCTTATTGGTTGTCTCATCTTGGTTGTTTGTTTGGTAATGAGAGGATTGATTATATTTAGAATTCTCTGGAATATTTTTGGACTCATCCTCACGTAGCTTGTTTTCTATACATGCAAGAGTCGCCCAATTTGAGTTAGTTACTTAGAATACAATAAACGCACTGCACTCGACGGGCGTTGTACTAAGACGGCTACGCCACCGCCTGATCATCATGTACAAAACAATATTAATTGAAGTATTCAACGCGATGACGATTAAAATGAATTTACAGGTGTCACATGACGATGCACATGACAGAGTGTTTTTTTCCGTGATCGCCAAAGTCGCCGTGTAGTATGCTCTATCCACTTGTATTGAGCGATATTTGTCGCCAGACTCGTCGCTTAAGTTGTCGCATAGTGTGCGCCAGGCTTTAACACTTATAATACAATAAACATCGGACACTTGATCGATACCGGAAACCTGATGTCTGATCGATAATTTATATTATAAATCAATTTGATTAAAACACAGGTCCTATTTCGTTTCGTTTTTTATAGTTCAAAATTTCGTTTTACCTGTCTTCACACTAGGACCTGGAAGAGTTGTTATACAACAGGCGTTCTAGTTGATGTGAGGAATTAGCCAATGAAACGGTCTATTAGGACGAGATCTTGACGTGCTCTGCACGGAACTGCGGGTGAATCCCTAGAAACGTCAACGCTGATTGATTAATCAATGTCTAACGTCATAGGGTCAAAAGACGCTCGTATGACCCCTGACGCGACATCTCAGTACAACTTGTCAGATCTTAATTTAGTGTAAGCCATCGAAAGTATAAAAAAACGAAACGAAATATAGATCTGTATTTTAATCAAATTCTATTATAATACAGCCAACCTTATCGATACTTTATAGTATAATACAGTAAATACCTGTCCTGTCTTTTATATTGCAATACAGTAAATAATAATTGTCCCTTTATATTATAATAAATATTGATACATTTAATTCCATTCGACAAATGATGAAGTAAACTACTTTATATGAGTACATATTACATACATAATTAACAAGCGGTTGCCATGCAAGACACGCCCACATTTTGCAAGAGATAAACATAGAACGAGCTAAAAAAAAATAATGTGATTTTATGTACAATCAGAGGGCATAATCCAGGAAGATATGATCCGATATGCGCGAATATCGCAAGGGACAGGGATTTTTGGGTTATGAACATACGTTTCAAGTTTCATCAAAATCGGATAATAATTGTGGCCTCTAGAAGGTCCACAACCTTCGTATGACATACTTTTACACAATTTGCGTACAAAGAGCGGCCATTTTGTTGGGCAGTTTCATTTCAATTTTCCCGAAATTCGAATTCAATCTTCATTATAGTGGAATGGTTATATATTTAAACGTTTTTTAAAATCAGAAAAAAAATTGTGACCTCTAGGGAATCCGCAAGCTAAAAATGCGATTTCTTCGAACAATCAGGAGCCATAATCCAGGATGTTACGTTCGGATATGCGCGATTATCAACAAGAACCAAGATCTTAGTGTGTAACGGTGATATATTCACACGTTTTTTTTTTAAATCGGTAAAAAATTGTGACCTCCAAATTTTATACAATCAACGGCCATAATTCAGGAAGTTACGATCCGATGTACGCAAATATCGAAAGAAACCAAGATCTTTGGGTTGTAAACATGCATGTCAAGTTTCATCAAAATCGGATCAAAATTGTGCCCTGTAGAGTGTCCACAAACAATTGTGGACGGACGTCCGGACGGACAGAGGCGACGACAGTATACCTCCACATGCAAATTTGGGCGTATAAAAATAAGGATGCGTTATATTGACGTGTAATTATTAACACGGTAAAGACTGTTGGCCAATACGAGAGTATAGTGTTTTTATAATTGTTTCTTACTAGAAGTATATATCTGAACCTGATGACAGCTGCAACAGTAATTAGTATGAGTGAAGGTAATATAAGACATAGATAAAAATAAATCCACCTACTCTGACTCGCCACTCGGCATACTAGAAAACTGGCAACAACTAAGCATATTCCAAGCTGTTCACGATAAGCACAGACCATTTTCTGCTTCAGCGAACCCAACATACCTAAAATACATAGGATAAAGAATTCCTGAATTAATAACCTTCTAATGTTCGTTTCATTTCATTTTCTTTTAATATAGATTTGTGTATAATTATGTCGCTCGGTTTACGGATGGCATTCGGAAGTTTGTATGAAAACGGTATGCTTATTTCTCGTGTGCCTTTAATAATGTGATTGTATCTATTATATGCTTGTTTTCCTCGGTTTGCCAACAATGGCGTCCGAATTTTTGTATAGATATGACAATTGTATACTCTTCCCCGAGTGTTTTCCTCGTGTTGCTGTAAAAATGTAATTCTATCTATTTATTGGTATGTCTCTGAATAATTAAAATAAAATAAACAGTTGCTGTTATTGGTCGTGGGGAATAAACCTTTCAGACAGTACTATGCAAAAGATAACACAATTTCTTATCCCCAAGAAGTGATATAAAGTCTTCTAGAAGAGTCATGACTTGTCCTGTTAACAACACATGAGGCTGCCGGTAATTAGTAGGATCGATTCGATGGACTTCCATTCAGAAGAAGATGTATTGCAGGCTGCTTAAGATGGCAATCATGGGCACTAGCTAATTTCGTGGAATTCAAACGTGAGAATGTCCCAAATAAATAAGCGGTGCACTAGATGTTTCCGAACGATTTAGCATAACCCATCAATACTTGTATGATTATTTGTTAGCCATGAACTTGGGAATTAAATGAAAAGTTGTCTAGAAAGAGTACCCATATCCTGTAGCTCGATTTACAGGTAACGTGGACTGAGATATTTAGATTTAACATTATATCAATTACAGGATTCCAAGACACAATTCCTGCAGTTTCTGTATAAAACGTTTTTCAATAGTGAAATATTTTGGCCATGATAATACCATAACAACATAAAGGTATTTTACAATCCGACATTCTGTTGTTTATTGTTGAAAGTGTCAATCAACTATACGAGAATATATTGGCACTAACGCCAAGAAATAACACACCATTGTTCTATAAAGATAAAAGTTTATGCCAATTGCTAAATTCTATAAATCAAGTAAATCTTTTGATGTCCGGATTATTTTGCAATAGTCTTTACTCAGTTGTAGGTGTACCTTTTCGTTGATCTGAGATGTAATACATTCTTTGACTGATTATTCATCTTATGACTCCACCCATGAATATATATTCCATTTTCAAGTATGGTAGATTGAGTGTGTCATTTTTATTAGTATGGTAATAAGTTACACAAATTATGTGTTAACGGTAAAACATTATTAATGTTATTAAACAGGGATAGATAATTAGAAAATCGCCGCTCACCCGTTAGTACTATCAGACTTTAAGTGGAACAGAGTTGTGATTTATTCATAACGTTTCGACACTTTGAATCCAGCAGATACACAGATGTATCGATTTGTCCAGCCTCTGCTCTTCGGCTCTTCGTGGGAATGTACCCCCCCCCCCCTCGTCTTGAGCATTTTAGCGCATTTTATGACGCTTATAACTGCAATGTGCTATTTTACCGACACGATGCCATTATTGTATAATTGGATGCCATAGACGCAATGTGGTAAACAATCGCTTTATTGATAACAATCCAGAAGCTGAAAATAACGAGGCTGGGTTACGTCGAATATAAAGAATGCCTTAAAAATAAAGATTAGACGCGTATTTATAGAAAAAAAACCCAAGTTGTAACACCCTATTACTAAATATACTGAAGGCTGTAATTATATTTCAAACAGTAAATCGTTGGTTATATCTCTTGAACCTCAAAGAGTTTAATATGGGGAGTATTTACCCCACGGTAACGAATTTCCTACAAACAAGTAAATAACGGAGCATGAGTAAATACCTCAACATTACGTGTTTCTTACAAACAGGTAAATAACAGAGCATGAGTAAATACTCCAATGTAACGAATTTCTTACAAACAAGTAAATAACAGAGCATGAATAAATACTCCAATGTAACGAATTTCTTACAAACAAGTAAATAACAGAGCATGAGTAAATACTCCAATGTAACGAATTTCTTACAAACAAGTAAATAACAGAGTACGAGTAAATACTCCAAGGTAACTCATTTCTTACAAACAGGTAAATAATGGAGCATGAGTAAAATACTTCAATGTAACGAATTTCTTACAAACAAGTAAATAACAGAGCATGAGTAAATACCCCAAGGTAACGAATTTCTTATAAACAGGTAAATAACAGAGCATGGGAAAATACTCCAAGGTAACAAATTTCTTATAATCAGGTAAATAAAAGAGCATGAGTAAATACTCCAAGGTAACAAATTCTTTACAAATAGGTAAATGACAGAGCGTGAGTAAATACTACAAGATAACGAATTTCTTACAAACAGGTAAATAACAAAATGTAAGACTGGTACCACTATCAGTTTTTATTAACAGTTATTTATAGATCAAAATGGTTTCTTCCAAAAAATAATTACACCCTCAAGGACGAGAATATAAATATGAAACAGTAAACGAGCGAATATCTTTGTAAAAAACTTACGTAAAGCGATAACAAGAATGATAAGTACCGGTATATAGAAATAGCTACACTACTATTACATTACCTTGAATATAGAAAACGGCAAAAGAACGCCCACACTTCATCATTTAAAGATGTTTCATGGAAATAACTTCTTGAAATTCATCAATCAAACATATAATCACCCCATTCAGAGATTCATGAAAGGTGTCGTGCACAAAGCGTAATATGATAATTATTTTGAGAGCCCGATTGCATTCCAAATGTAGATAAATGTACATGATTTGGAAGGTCACACGGATGATGTTTCTAGAAATACATCAATCGAATATGTTGCACTTCATTTAGAGATTCACGAAAGGTGTCGTGCACAAAGGGTAATATGATAATTTATTTGAAAACTCGATACCAGTTCCATTCAAAGGGTCGATCAAGTTACATCATTTGGAAATGTTACATGACTGACATTTTTTTATTGATACTAAAACGCCACTTCCACATGACTCGACACTGTTTTAGATAATATTTATTTGAAGAAATAGCAACGGGTGGCAATACCCTTGGCGTTCCCTTTGTCATTCATTAGGTTACAGACGCACATAAGTTATAAGTATATACGTATATTATTGTCTACGTGAATAAACAACTAAAAACCTCATAGTTGACGTTTATACAAACACCAAACAGTAATGTGCTAACCATTTGGGTATCAGCTCAAGTTGCATCTCAAGTACAACACCGCGTTCTAATTGCAACAGATTGCTATATTAAAAGATACAACATAATATCTAGACAGCTTTTTGTTCGATTATCTATTAACTACATGGGTTGTATACAGTAGTGATTGAATACCTTAATAAACTATTATCCATTGCAAACATTGGAAAGTAAAATTGGCAAAATTATCTGGTCCGTTGGGTGATAGTTCATTTTTTTAATTCATATCATAAATATCATTTATTGCATGCATCTAGGATGTGTCAGGGATCGCATTCAAGATGACAATCAAAGTTTAAGTGACAGTCATCCGATGTACATGTACATGTACGTTCTGCGCTTTGACATGTATTTGTAAAGCAAGGTTGCCAGTAATTAACATTTATAGATAATTATACATTTTGCTTGTAAGTTCATGAAAGTAAAGTTTATAGCTAACCCTTTCTAACTGTAATTAAAGTCGACATTTTGGTATTTTCTGTTGTCAGTGCATTTAGGGTACTGACTTATTATGCTAAAGATTACAGGTATCAAGTTAACGTTATGACTATCAAGACAAATATGACGAAATCAAAAACCAGACAAAGAATTCTTGTCTAAATCACACCAGATATCAATAGTTTTGGCGGTTTCATTAAGAAGAAAACTAAAATCACACCGTGTTTATGGCAATTAATATATCCATGTACACAAGATTTTTTTTTCGTTGATTGAAAGGTATTACATTACACATTACCATCTAAGAACCGGTAATATATAAGACTGGTTTAACAGCTATTGTTTTTTTATGGTAATAATCGAATATATCTAATATGTTTTCCAATATCTAAATTAAAATTCTGATAAGCAAGACTGAAATCACACGAATACTTACAATAAAAAAACTTTTCAAGACTTTCTGCTGACTTCTGCTAATCCGACATACTCCCTCAACCACCAAGAAAAGCATTCAGGACGATTCCATTATTGGACGTGATTCACCTATTCAGTATACCCGTTCACTAATAATTAGTTATTTGTAATTAATCTGAAACAATGATTCCTGTGAGACCTACTCTACAGAACTGAAATCGACAAATGCAGTTTCACTTTGTAAATAGAAAGGAATACACCGTATAAACAAGAAACCGGTTATGAAAGCTATTAACTAGTTCTAGATGTAAGACAGTAGCCTGATATTAGCATAGGTTTTATGAGTTTATGGTACCACGTGAAAACACATCGTTGCTATTAATAATCTATAGCACAGTCTGAGCCGTGTAATATATAATGACGTCTGCTACATATGTTTACCGCCAGTTCTATATTTGCATGTGGTACCAAAAAGACGGTACCAATAATTTTTAGTTGCGGAAATCAACAAAGTATTTCCACCTGTCTTATAAAATTAAACTATTCAAAATGTATAAAATCAGTGGAAGAGAAATATTTGGCCTAATCCTGTTATCAATGACTTGAGTTATTTTGTCGTACAATGGTTATTTGCGGTTCGGGATGAATGCATGACAATCTGTAAATAATTGTATAAAGTTATTAAGCACACAAAATGGAGGAATATTTGGGTGCCGAACAAACTGTAATAGCCTAATACTGATGATCAACATTTACGTCTGAAGTGTAAAATGTGAAATTTTGATATGCACTACCTTACTGAAACATGTATTGCACCACACCCAAACTATGCACGTTTAATGCCTGTATATTCTCAGCTCTATCTAATGACGACTTAGCTTTTCTGAGATTATAGCGGGGGCGTCACGCCGTTGTTTCTTACATCAACGTATCGACCTTAAGAATGAACCACCCAAACTATTTTTCTATTCTGGCATATGTTTGGGTCATTATGAGTTTGGTTTTCTGATTTCGTAGTGTGGAAGTATTCGATGATGACCAATCCAAAATTAATTTCTAAATTTAGGTTTCATGATGCCAGTGTAAGTTCGTAAAATTACATGGTTAATAAAAGGTATAATATTATGTTCAGGCTGCTAAAAATTAAGTTTTACAGTGTATATGAATATTTTTTATGTCTAAGTAACTCATAGACAGGTGAATAAAGATCAGTTAGGTCGTTTTACTTGGCATCAAAATAACATTCCATAAATATCAGCACAGTAATTCCTGACATTATAGTACCCAGACTTTTATATCGATGCGTAAGAGTTGTGCGAGTCAAGTTTGAAAACGTGTTTCTGAGTCAAAGAAAGATTACTAAGAAGCTTATGATGGGGAAGTATCTATTTCAAATTTCCACTATGTATCAAGTTTATACAAACGAATCGTCCGAAGTCTTCAAAGGCTTCCCATACTTTCATTTCTGCACGCCCTTTTTAGCTTTATGTTGATTTTCAATGTCTTTAGAAGTCTTGCAGCTGGACAATTAATATGACATTTTAAATATAACTCGACATTTTCGGTTTGAGCATTCCAAACGTAACTCGTATAGTGAACACTGATTTTCGGAGTTTTCTTTATCTTTTCTGTTTAAAGGGAAATAATCCTACATTGAAGAATACAATTAAACATTCCGATAAAAAAACATGCAGAAATATTGGTACATTATCAACGCATAAACCAAAAGCTTTAGAGGGTACAACGCTTTCAGTTATAATCACAATGTTTGGCCGCTTGACTATAATGTTAACAAGAATTTCGAAGCAAGGACAATAACTCTTGAGAATCTTAGGTAAGGGGTTCATGATACACCCATACCGGGCCATACCTATAGTTACTCACAAAATTTAGGCGGGGTTGGATGGCCGAATGGTTAGCGCGTGTGAGTTGTATCAAAAGGTCTATCATTGAGTCATCTGACGTGGTTCCGATTCCCCGGTTGTATGTTACAAGGAGTAGGGTCGCGTTTCCAACCTCGTGCTTTTCTCCGGGTCCTCCGGTTTCCTCCCACTGCTAAAGACGAATTATTGAAATAAAATTGAACCATACGTCCTAGTTTGTGTCGAGTGGACGTTAAACCCCATCTCTCTCTCTCTCTCTCTCTCTCTCTCTCTCTCTCTCTCTGTCAATTTCCTTGTATTAAGGGTTAAAAAAATTCATATAAACTCTTCAAAAAGAAGTAGGGGATATCCAGAAACAATACAAAACTGCGGAAATGCACTGCTGTTTTTATTAGAGGTAACCAGCGTATGTTAATAACAGGCTACATGCAGCCCATTTCCATGTTAATAAACATAAACAGTTCATATGGGCAGCATATCTGACGGCCCCATTTCACTCGCAAAGAGATACACTGTCAAAAGTGAAAATGGACGTTTTTGATTTTTGTCTTAATAATGAGTAATTGCTCCACCAATCCTCAGACATTCAGCAATTCGTCATGGCATGCTCCTCATCAACCGTCCAATCACGATTTGGGGCAATCTGACCCACTCCTCTTGCAGTGCCACGGCCAATTCTTGCAGTGTTGGCGGTTGACGTTGACGTCGACGAACACGTCTCCCGATCATGTCCCAGACATGCTCTACAGGGTAAAGGTCAGGATTCAAGGCTAGCCAAGGCATATGGACAATATGGTGACGCTGGGGGTAGTTATTCACGACACGGGCATTATCATCTTGAAAGATGAAACGTCGACCTGCACGTTGAGCAAAACAGAAGAACTATCGGTGCCAGGATGTGGTCACGATAGTACACCCCAGTGACCCTTTCTTGAACAATATGCAAGTCCGTTCTGCCAGTCATGGTGATTCCTCCCTACACCATAACAGACCCACGCTGTCATGCTGTCCAAACGCGAGAACGCCTATCGGTGAAATCCAGAGTAAATCTGGACTCATCTGAGAACATTACATGCGCCCATCGACGATTACCCCAATTTCTACGCTGCCTACATCATTGACGCCTGTTTGCCATGTGCTGGCAAGTTAATGGAGACACAACACGCGGTCGTCGCGCATGGAAATGGGCTGCATGTAGCCGATTTCTAATCGTTTGGGGTGTAACTCGAATTCCTGCAACTTGGTACAAGTTTACCGAAAGCTGATTGGCCGTGTGTCCTCGATTTCGCAGGACCTGTGTACGAATGTATCGATCCTAGGCTTGTGTAGTGGCTCTAGGATGACCTGAACGAGGTCTATCATTAGCATTGTGCGTTTGTTGGTACCGGTTCCAGTCTGCTGATCACAGACAGTGACACATTAAGCATGTTGGCTACTGCTCGCTGTGTAGAACCCATTCTAAGCATGCCAATAGCACGTAGACTTTCATCATGTTGAAGACGTCTCATTGCAAATTAAACGTAACACACTAAAGCAAAGATAAGCTAAACAGTAAATCTGATGCAAGAACCGATAGGAAAGCAAGCATGGATAGGATAAACCAACACGCGGCAGTTTTCATCAACATTTCCTTGAAGTGTCAAATTTGACAATGAACCCATCCCACGTGTATGGCGTTATTGCGTGTCACATGTGCAGCTCAGTGGTTCTGTCGGGGCGATAAGTTCTTCATCTGGGAATATACTCTCAAAGCATGTCAAGTGTTCATGACTATTTATCATATTACAACCTGCATATGTATTTGCATCTGAATATCCCCAACTTTGTTTGTATCCTTCATGATCCAGCGACCACATTAAGAGCAAAACGATCAATAGTAGTATCGAAACTTTAGATGGCCATAAATTCCGTTAGTATTGGGCGATTTTACTCATTTCGGAACCAGTATAATGCTCTCTCTCTCTCTTTCTCTCTCTCTCTCTCTCTCTCTCTCTCTCTCCCAAAATGTAATGTGTGTTACAAACCTCATAGCATTCAGTTCAAAAGTAATTATTGCATGTCCGTCATGCTTACGACTACGATTATATGCACCCGCCCGTAAATAATTGTAAATGCACATCGTTCTGGCATTCATTGATAGTTTTGAATTTTCTTTGGTGGTCATCGTCTTTCTTTTTTGTTGGAAATAACACATCCTTTATGTTTTTCCTTCTTGTTAGTAAATTTATTTTAATTATATAATAAATCATTAGTGTGTTGCCTTATTGCTAGTAAATTTATTCAAATTCGTGAAAGTATTGTTTTTTTTTTTGTTTCCTCTAACCTGATTAGGTTTTTATTGTTTTATTTTGATAGTGGTAACATAACCGACATGACAGTAACGTGAGAAGCATATATTTACTATTACTATACAGTTAAACATGCTGTCAATATTGACCATGTCACATATATACCAATGTCATTAGTTAAACTGTTTATATTTAAACTTAATATTGGTAGGTTAGTAGAATGGGTAAAAAATACATAGAATAAACATAATATAAGCCAACAGAATTTGATTGCATCATTCTTGTACACAGAAATCCATAACTCGGCATTGTTATCTGGAAAATTCATGTTGGGGATTAATGCTAGAGATCATAAAATTGTGGTTTCGAATCCAAGCTTGTAGGAGTAAAGTTAACGGCCGAATCACGTGGTATTTTTTTCCGGAATATCCGGTTTTCACCTGTGGCTGAAAAACCATGTACGCAAGCGAATTATTAAAATAAAGATATACCATATGTTATTCCTGAAATATATTACAATATTTATGTCTCCCTTTTCCGGTTGCGGGTGCAGCATTATAAAGTCCAACCAAATCGTTGCCTTTATATTGCCCACAATACTTTCAGAGTTGAATTGATACTGCGTGGGTTACGCCTGAGTTATGTAGAGATTTATCCGTATTCTAAATAGCAAAATGTACCCAAATGAAAGGTTCAGATTGAAAAAGATGGGGGTGTTATGCTGACGAACATTGTAATGAATAGCCCACAGTTGTATTAACTAATTTTAAAAATGTGGTCATCCAATTTGTGATGTGTATGTATAAACCACAACCATGAGTCTATATTGCACCTATCAGCAACGTTGGTCCTTTTATTGTTGTCTGTGTTACACAAAAGTAAGTTTTTAAGAAGGTGTATAATTGCAGATGATTCATTTAACATCCGGATTAACATATTTATGATAAAGGATTATCAAAACAGATTATAGCATTTGAATATCATGGTAGTAAACATGCTCGTTGTGTGTGTGTATATTGTTTAATGATTTGATATGACCTTATCACCCGAGAACAATCCAGTGCTGGCTAACCCTCCCGTTAACGTCGAATTTGTCCGGGAATTGCGTATTCACGACGCCGTTCTGAAGGCATTGCACGTCGACAAGACAATATAGACCTTCTCACCTGCTATATCTTGTACTGGTATCAAATAGTGGGAACTTTATTGGAACCGCCATAACAACCAATGACCAGAATGACTAATAAAACTAAATGATTTGGTTTGCAAGAGAATCAATAGACGGTAAAAAGTCAACAGCGTAGACACATAATATGTATTTGTCTGATGCCAGAATCACATATCTGGCGTTGTGACATTATATTTTTTAAGGCCTCAATTTACTTTGGAACATAATGTAGCTGATACGAAAATTTGATGAACTGTTGTTGTTTTTTTTTATCTATGTATATTTTAGTTAATGTGCTATTTAAACTTGTAGATTATTCCAACCCAATTAAACGTAAATATTACAGAACACTTTTTATGTCAAACTATACGTAAACGTCTGTCATTCCTAACATACGAAACCAAGTCACCATGTAATCAGTTGAATGTTGTGAAAATTGCTATTTGGACTTCTATCGGTTTTATGCCATTTAATTCATTCTTTACATTTGACACGTTATACCCTTTCTAAAAAAATGACATTTTAAAACTGTGTGCAGAAATAAGATGTATGAACTATAACATTTTATCTAGAGAATGGGGATACAAAAATAGAAGAACATGAAATGAAATGGGGTTTAACGTCCTATTGTTCTGCTCCGACTGGGCTAATCGACATACAGTGTGCTATAAGGGAAATTTTGTCCGGGCAGCGGCGCTACGGCCTACTCTTATATCGAATTCCAACTGCCAAGGTTCTTTTACGTGCACGCCAATGTGTACACGGGACCTCGGTTTTTCGTCCCATCCGAACTACTAGAAGAACATACAAGGAATAGAACACAACTAAATGGAATACAAGTTACCTAATACTGGTTAAACAATTGATACAAACAAAATGTCGCTTTAAGAGAGAGAGAGAGAGAGAGAGAGAGAGAGAAAGAGAGAGAGAGAGAGAGAGAGGTGGGTCATTTCGGGACTAACACATGGTTGAATTTTATTTCAATAATTCGCTTGCGCGGAGGGGTCTATAGCAGGGGGGGGGGGGAAATCGGAGGACCCGTAGAAGACACACGAGGTTGTCACGCACGTACAACCGGGGAATCGAAACCACGCCATTTGACTCAATGACAGACCATATGATACAGCGTGCACTTGCTAATCATTCGGCCACCCCCCCTTGCTTTAATTAAAATAGTAATAGTGGTTCCATATTATGTTTTTGTGTTTAATACGAAACAGGGACGCGGTGGGGCTAAAAAAACAGATACGAGGCCAACCAAAACATCGGCGCCGCTCTTGGTAAACCAAAACACTGGCGCCGCTCTTGTTGAATCACCAAAACCAGTGCCACTCGAGCGAGCCACCAAAACCGGCGCCGCTCTTATATTGATAACTGATTACGAACGCGGGCGACAGAACTCAGTCGACAAACGAATAAGGTGACATATATTCCATTGACTTAATCTCATCGCACCAGTAAGCACGTTTCATTTTTCACTGAGTGGACAAAAAATCATGAATAAGCCGGTAGGCGACATGGCTGGTCGTTACTGCGCACGCATGGGAGTAGTCAAATGAAGAAACTGGATCTGACCAAACATCCCGAGAATTTGAGAGAGATCGGGGGAAGCCATATATGATGTCGTATCTGATTAATATAACCAAAACTTACACGTATGCCAGAAGTTAATTTTGTTGTATTGCCAAGTTTTCAAAAAAAATTATCATTACCCCTTCAATACTATAATAATAAAAATATTTAATCATCATTGCTTTGTGGATCTTCGTCCATCTGCAACTTGTGCCATCCTTCCCTTGGTGTCCTAAGTACGTGTTTATTTTGCTCCTGGACTAATCGAACTGTACTTTACTCGTTCGTTTGATATATCGTTTGTCGCTGGATGGGTTTCAATTGACCACCTCCATATCACGTCACTTTAGTGCAATCCAACATTTGAAACAGGAAAACTATACAACTATAAAAAAAACCCCAAACATTTGAATAAATCCGCTTCACAGTTTTGTTAAAGACATCTGATATTTTAAAATAACATGATTATTTTTTACCCCAAATTCAAGCAATATTTGTTTTCTCTCTCGGTATTAAACTGTTAATTACTAATCTAAAATGTTTGACCGAAACAAAGTTAAATGTGTTTAGTGCCTAACAATTAAACTTGAAGTTGACATTAACTATTATCACGTTTACTGTCACCTCCTAAATAAATTTGGTTATACTAACCATCCTTGATGAGTCGATGGCGATATGTATACAAAACTACCCGAAAACAAACAAAGTATCAAACTTTTGTCATGTTTAAAATGCTCAACCAAAGTCAAACCCTAACGCCCGCTATTAATGTATGAGCAAGGAAAATAGTTTGTCGGTAATTTTCGCATCGAAATGTTTGCCATAATAATTGTTCGATGGGCGTTGTATGTACTATATAAGTCGAGTTGTCGCTTTTATTTTTCAGTTAGAATATTAAAATGACTCGTCTGTTGTTTTTCCTGACGGCCATTGCTCTAAGCAGCGGTGCTCCAACAGAAACCGCAAGTGGAAATGAACAACCACCAACACCGGTCATAAATGTAGCAGAAAACCAGTATCTGATTGAATTCGAAGATTTTGCTGCTGACCAAGGATGGGATAATCCAGGCCGAGTGCCCCAAAGGTCTGCAGCGTCAAATGGTGAATCGCTTCATTTGTTTAAGGATGAGAGTATTACTGTTGTGTTCTGTCTTCCCATAGAACAAGATGTGTTTATAAGGAATGTATTCTTTTCTAACGATGGTTGGGTAGACGATATCAAAGTGGATCTAGATGGCGTCGAGGTGGGCGAGTTTCGTTCAGCTGATGAGTCTCAATGGGGATATCTCTGGAATAGTTTCAACTTTACTGGTTCTGTGGGAGAAATAACAAATCTGATATCTGGGCGTCATGAATTGACCTTCACTGTTGTGGACGGAGATGAATGGGGTGTTGAGTTGGACGCCATAAAATTGGAATTTTCAAGACCCGACTTGACCGTGGATTTGAAATGTCCCGAAGGTGAGGAATACATAATCGAAGGCGAAGGTGTTGTAGAAGTTTAATGATATATGGAAATAATTGCAGCAAAATCAAATTATAAATACGCTTTATCATATGCTTCAGTTTTGTCTAATACTTATGCATTGCCAATAATGTATGTTATATACATATATCTATATATGAATATAAAAATGCTTAGCTTGACGTATATTTAAATTGGCAAATGCGAAAGGATATCTGGAAATAAATCTGAAATAAACACAATCACAAAGTGTGATGCTTATACGTATTTGGATATATCATAGCTTTTGCTTTATTATAATTTAATTAGACAGAAAATTTTCTCAGTATTTTGTTTTGATCTCTGTAATTCGCGAAATAATAAATAGATTAAGTTGCTTGAAAAAGAAAAATCTTACTTAAAATTCGGTTTATTTCCAGATATTTCCACTGAAAAAAATAAAACAGACGGTCAAAATTATCCTGGATTGCCAGAAAATCCCACAGATCTATTTACACCTGGTAGTGGACAACCCACCGATTCATCAAATCCTGATAGTGCAAAAGTAACAGATCCATCAGACCCAGATTGCAAGACACCCGAATGTAAGCAGAATCCTTCTAGTCCAGTTAACACTAAACCTACAGAACCTTCAAATCCTGATAGCTCGGAACTTACGGATACCAATACCGACAAAACTACAGACCCATCTAATCCTGATAATACAAAACCTAAAGACCCATCTAATCCTGATAACACAAAACCGACAGACCCATGGGACCCCGATAATTCTAAACCTACAAACCCAGAAAATCCGGATTGTAAATCATCGGAATGTAAGCAGAAACCTAATAATCCTGATAGTCCCCAACCTACAGATTCCTCAAATCCAGATAGTTCTGGACCTACAGATCCTGCAAATCTAGATAGCTCTAAACCTACAGACACATCAAATCAGGATCCAACAAAGCCCACAGATCCAGCAGACCCAGACTGCAAGACACCAGAATGTAAACAGAAACCCTCTAGTCCCGATAGTTTTAAACCCACGGATCCATCAAATCCAGACAAATCAGAGTCTACAGATCCAGATTGCAAGACACCAGAATGTAAGCAGAATCCTTCTAATCCAGATAACACTAAGCCTACAGAACCTTCAAATCCTGATAGCTTGGAACCTACGGGTTCATCAAATCCTGATAATTCTAAAGATCCAGGGTGTAAGACACCGGAATGTAAGGCGAACCCATCTGATCCTGACAGCTCTAAACCTACAGAACCATCAAACCAAGATAGTTTGAAACCTACGGATCCAACAAATCCCGATAACCTGAAACCTACAGTGTCAACAGATTCAGATTACCACACACAAGATTGTTCACAGACTTCCGATAGCTCTAAACCTACAGATCCATCTAATCCCAATAGCCCTAATCCTACCGATCCTTCGAATGCTGAAGTGTCTACAGATTCGGATTGCAAGACACCCGACTGTAAGCAGAATCCCTCTAGTCCAGATAACACTAAACCGACACATTCATCAAATCTTGATAGCTCTAAACCTACAGATCCATCAAATCCTAAAAATTCTAAACCTGCAGAGTCAACGGACGCAGAATGTAAGACACCAGAATGTAAGAAGAAACCCACTGGCTCTACACCTATAGATTCATCAATTCCCGATAGTTCTAAACCTACAGATCCATCAAATCCCGATAATTCTAAACCTACAGATCCATCTAATCCCAATAGCCCTAATCCTACCGATCCTTCGAATGCTGAAGTGTCTACAGATTCGGATTGCAAGACACCAGAATGTAAGCAGAATCCCTCTAGTCCAGATAACACTAAACCGACAGATTCATCAAATCTTGATAGCTCTAAACCTACAGATCCATCAAATCCTATAAATTCTAAACCTACAGAGTCAACAGACGCAGAATGTAAGACACCAGAATGTAAGAAGAACCCCACTGGCTCGACACCTATAAATTCATCAAGTCCCGATAGTTCTAAACCTACAGATCCATCAAATTCCGATAATTCTAAACCTACAGAGTCAACAGACGCAGAATGTAAGACACCCGAATGTAAGAAGAACCCCACTGGCTCTACACTTACAGATCCATCAAGTCCTGATAGTTCTAAACCTACAGATCCATCAAATTCCGATAATTCTAAAACTACAGATCCATCAAATCCTGATAATTCTAAACCTACAGAATGTAAGACACCCGAATGTAAGAAGAACCCCACTGGCTCTACACCTATAGATTCATCAAATCCCGACAGTTCTAAACCTACAGATCCATCAAATCCCGATAATTCCAAACCTACAGGGTCAACAGACGCAGAATGTAATACAACAGAATGTAAGAAGAACCCCACTGGCTCTCCACCTATAGATTCATCAAGTCCTGATAGTTTTAAACCTACAGTCCCATCGAATCCCGGTAGTTCTAAACCTACAGTCCCATCAATTCCGGATAATTCTAAACCCACAGAGTCAACAGACCCAGAATGTAAGACACCGGAATGTAAAAAGAATCCCATTGGCTCTAAAACTACAGATTCATTAAATCCCGATAGTTCGAAACCTACAGATCCATCAAATGCCGATAATTCTAAACCTACTGATCCATCAAATCCTGATAACTATAACCCTACGGTTCCATCTAATCCAACAGATAATTTTCAATCTACTAACCCAGTTGATCCTGATTGTAAAACACCGGAATGTAAACAGAATCCATCTAGTCCTAATAACTTTAAACCTACAATTTCACCAAATCCTGACAGTTCTAAACCTGTGGTTCCCGATGATAAAAATCCCTCAGACGCGTCTGATAAGGGTGTGAAACCTACAGATTCCCCCCAGGTGACTAACACAGAACCATCGTATTCGTCCAATCCTCCTGTCGGTGGAAATAGCCCCCAACAAAACACAGACGAAATATACGAAATTAGCTGCCCTACTGAACAACTATTGACAGTTAGAAGGAACGATTATCTTGGGTGTGATGATGATGGACAAATTAGGTTCGATCTCTATGGGGCAACAATATCTGAAGTTACTTTTGTTATTCCCAACCCATTTCTTCCTCCGTCACAGTTAGCTAGACGATTGTTTAAGAGATCTTCACAGAGTAAGGTATTATGGGAAGATGGTTACCCTCGCGAGAACTGTTCTGATGATTCCATTGGTGAGAATTTTAGTTATAAAGAAATATCACAGTCTGCATCAGATGGGTCATTACCAGTCACCATTGATCCAAACGAAACGCCATCCTTGACACTTTCCTTTACACTCTCGGCTGTAGGCGTAGTCTTAGGTAAAAACTTGCGCCCAGTCTTTACAATTGGGGCGTGTTGCACAGATCCGTCAAATGTTACGCTAACAGCTTTAGACACCGACACCAATACTGTCATACGATTGGGAGATCAAGTATTCAGATCCGAGGACAACGTAAAATCATGGATTTTTCCATTTCTGTCTGGCTGGGATGATAGAAACATACAAGTTAAAGTGGATTTCTCTGATGTCACTGACAAGATGGTTTTGAATTATATGAAATTTGAAATCCAGGAAGTCGATACACAGGCAAATGACTCACCGGTACGTCCTCCGAAAACTTTACTCTGTGAAACCCAGGAAGTCAAAGTTGAGGGAGTGAAACATGGAGACCCAAAGAAGGAGAAACTTAAATTCAGACTAAACGGTTCTACCACAACCTCGGATGTGTCAAGTTTAGAGTTCAGCTCTCCAGATGACCCGTCTAAGCCCAAATTAGTTTTGGACTCTTCGGGTAAATGTACCTTCAACCCATCTCAGACTGTCGGTGTTGAAGAGTCTGCTGCTTTCATTCTGGGTTCGACAGATCCAACTTCTAGTAATCCAAACATAGCAATAGAAGAAGTCGAACTCGAACCGGATGTGAATGCTGATAATACCTCGATTATTTTGCATCTTTTGGGTGCTTCTTTTGGACGAACAACCATAAAACTAAAGATATCTGAAACCGAGACAACATTATCCCTTTTTCAACTTGTGCCTGTGGGTAAACCACTCTCGTCATTTTTTCTACCTTGTGGTCAAGAAGAAACCACCATCAATGCAGATGAGACAGGACCCGTTTCTATCTTCGATCCTTGGAGGAGTATCACTGGTGAACAATTAACCATTCGAAGAAGATAGACGCGCAATATTGAGAAATGTGATGTCCATTATTTTAGTGCTCAAATAGACAGTTAGTTCCATAACAAAGCTATGAACAATTGACTAGAGGGCTTCGCTACACCCGAACCCCGCCTCTAACCTCATTATCCACAATACTAGTCTGTGTATAAATATGTGTGCAATATATTTAGTGATTTAGTGTGTGCATTATAAAATAAAGCTACTTATCAGACAATGGGTATAGTTTGGGGATCTTTTTATAAATTGATCGCGTTTTAAAATCGAATAGTTCGAATGCTTCTTAATATCGAATCAATTGAAGTCCATCATTATGTGCGTTTGGTCAAAATGGTCCGAACGTAGATTTCTTGGGAGCCACTGTGGCTCAGTGGATAAGGCGTTGGCCCACTAACCAGGAAGTCCGGGGTTCGAGCAAAGTGTTTGCCGAGAGAGTTACGCGGAATTTTCCAGCGTGGTTTCCCATTGCTAGAGATGCAGGAATTTAATTAATGCCTGGACAAAATGTCCCTTATATAACACTGCATGACGTATGCTCGTTTTCATTAGCACGGTTGATGGAGAAAGGTTGGACGTTAAACACCATTTCATTCAGCTTTTGTTTAGTTCTAAATTCTAAATATATATGAGATTCAGATTCAGCTCAGTCAATCTCGACATTCAATCTCTCGATTCGGGTGCATGCATCCGATGTTGGCGTCGGTGATGTGCAGCTAATATTCTTAACAAAAATGTTTTACTCTATGTGACAAAGACCTCTAAAACTCATTTTGTATCAATGAAACTGGTTGTGCACTCTTTGTTAAAAAATCAGGAATTTAATGAGACGCACGCCCCTCCCCACACACACAAAACGAACTTCTCACAGCGGCAATATTATGAATTGCAGATGTTGTATTTATCTAGGATATATTACAGGCCTGAAACATTGACCATCTCTTTTTTGACTGCCTGGATTACAAACTAGGAAGAGAGGGTATTGGGCATTTGAAACCGAGAAAATGCCACATCTTATTGAAGTATCTGGTGGTAGACCTTTATTTAGCTGGCCCAGAAGCGTCGATAGTAGAAGTACCTTATTCCGGTCTATATTCATATTCCGAATATTATGTGTAGGATAAAGTACGAGACTGAGGTTATGCTGGGGAAAGAAAGACTGAAGAAAATAACCCGAGAAAAAGAAAAACCGAGGCCGGCATACCGAGGTTTTTCTGTCGAGTGATTTTTCTGAAGTCTTTCTTCCCCAGCATAATTGAAGTCGAGGACTTTATCTTGCTTATAAACCGTCTATGTTTACATGTACGCAAAATGAGAATATCCCAGAATTCCCATAAGAAAAACCTGTGTTCATGTTTTCTTATGGAACCCCCCCCCCCCCTCCCTACCCTGGAAGAATAACCTGTTACAGGTTCAAAGAAAAACTTTCAAAAGAATAAACCCAAATTCCCCTTTATATATCCAAAGCCGTCCCCGACTTTCAGACCTCAAGTTATTCCGGGCATAGAATATACCCCAAAGATCAAAGAGATCTACCGTTACAGATTTATAATCGTCTATAAGTGTTTCCGTCTTCATTATCCTGGTTAGCGCAGACATTAAACCCCTGTTCACTTTTCATTTCAATGCTGTAAGTTTGTTTGGCTGCGTAATTGAACTATCTCGTAGACAAGTAATTCCATTTACTTTACAAGCCTATATAACGTTTACTTCAATTTCGCAGATTTGGTTTGGCAGTAAGACCATCCCATGAGCAATCACATCAAATAATATGGCACAGAGTCCGATTTTCTCTGATCGTCTATAGTTTTCTAGCATGCCATCTTAGGGTTATGTTCACAATAAACAATAGGTAGCTTGCTGGGCATATTCCGATCCGAACGAGTGAACAGAGTGTTTGCAAGTATAGTGAAGAGGACTGGGGGTCAAAACCTAACTATAATCGAAAACCATCTGTTGTACCATTTGGTAACTGAAATTGAAATGTAAGAACGCAACGATTTAGCCCATATAATCTGTCCCATTTCCATAGTGCTTATACATGTAGTTACACTGAAATATCTTGGTATAGACTGGAATTCAGTATTGAAGGATTGACCCCAACACATATCAGCTGTTATAAAGAGATGTTAATATTCGCATCATTTATGATAAATAGACATAATTGATACATTTATAATTAATATACCCATAAAATTCGTACTATAAAAATCTCATAAAGGTCCATTCATTCCAAATTCCAGATAAACCACAAAAAGGTAAGATAGATTCAATTGATGAAGAAGGTATCGACGGGACTAGGAGTAACGATAGCAATAACAATTACAGGAACCAAATTGAGGAAGATTATGACAGTGATGAAGGCGACTATGACAGTGACGAAGAAGAAGATTATGACAGTGATGAAGAAGAAGATTATGACAGTGATGAGGAAGATTATGGCAGTGATGAAGAAGATTATCACAGTGACAGTGATGAAGAAGGTTATGACAGTGATGAAGAAGATTATAACAGTGACGAAGAACATTATTACAGTGATAAAGATAACCATAGTAATGAGTACATCAATCGTGATGATGATTATCGTAGTGATGAAGAACAGGGTGGTTACAAAAGCTATGAAGATTAGGATCGACCTACTATGAAATTGAGTCTCCAAGTAGTCTTAACCAAGATTGAAGTATGGTGAAAAGGGAAAACATATCCCTAAAATATAAAAATCCATATAAAACTCAGGTATTTTTATATAGAATTTTCTACACAACATTCCAATTAAATGCCCATGATAAACTGTTTATTTATTAAATAAGTAATGCATCTACCCCTTATCTTTTTTCAATGCAAATAGAAGATACAGATTCAAGGACAATGTTGATGTTCCCCAATGTTTGCGACATATTATAGAGCTGGTCAAACACATTCCACATACAATTTTACCATAGAGATATTTGCTAATGTTGATCTGTGGTAGTCAATGCTTTTTATGAATTGTTTAGAACCAGAGCCTATTTTAAGGTTTTATTCACGAAGCACAGTTTTCAAAGATGGGAATTTGTAAAGGGACCGGGATGTAGGGTGTGTGGTGCCGGTGTGTTCTTCACGCCCGGGCTCCGATATAATTTTCAAAAAAAATTCCTGACACAGTGGACAGCACTTGATAGGTTTCATTTTATTAGCCATGAGGACCCGGCGATAGCCAACGAGGTTGGACAGGCGACCCTACTCCTTGTCACTTACAACCGGGGAATCGAAAACCCGCCAGTTGACTCAATCACAGACCTATGATACAGTGCGCACGTGCTAACCATTCGGCCATCCAACCACTCCCCCCACCCCGATTCAAAAGCAGACGAACCTTCACTGTCATTTTCACCTGGCGACATTCTCCCTTGTACACCGAACACATCGGTTAATTGTCGTCCTTTACGCGATGGTGCGCCATTTGAATCCGTGGGTGCTTTACTTTCAGAATGCCAAAGTGAAACGAAAACATGAGAATGGATCCATGATTATACAGATTGCCGTTGGCGTACTTGCTCAATTTCCTCATACATTCTTCTCGGATTCACAGTTTTGCATGCATACAGACCATTTTCTTAAAGCACGGGTGTCAGATTTTGAAAACACGGGTTTATCCTGAGTTGAAAATCGTCTGTCGTGTTACTGCGCACGCGTCTGTGCTATAGATGGGGTTATACAGACAAGAAGGGTATAGCTACTATAGCCAATAAGAAACTCAGTTGACACCAGTTGACTCAATGACAGACCTTATGATACAGCACGCACGTGCTAACCATTCGGCTATCCAACACCCTGGAATGGTATAAGATAAATATTGAGTAAAAGCAGATGGGTGTTAAGACTGAAATAATGTAACTTTGTGGACAATGTCCTGTTTTCTTTCATGGTTTATGGAAACCTGCAAATGATTATGTATAAAATCAGAAAATCAGCTAGTATAGAATTACTAAAACTTATAGATAATAAACTTTCAGTGGCAATTTAGAGCAGACAAAATATGCACGTTCTTTTGTCAAATTGGTTTAAAAGCGCGTGAAGCCCTGTCCGCGGTATAAAGTGGAGTTGTCTCCCATTTCACAGTTCTGCTTTTGTCCATTTTTATTGATAGCCACTAGCCCGACATATGGCCTAATTCAGGACATATCCCAATGTCAAGGCCATCATTAAACCAGGAAAAATCCATAAAAATTAGTTGTATGTGAGTGTCAGACAATACCAGGTCAAATCAATTGTTGCTAAGCTAAAATCAAGTAATATAATAATAATGCTAAAATAAAAACATCCACCATGTACTCCTGACACAGACTTTTCTATTGTAAACCTAATCTTATCTGGATTAATTAAATCAAAATATTGGTTACGAAACCAAATTGTTTTCTCTTCTACGAAAAATAAACTTGTATTGTATTTTATACTTTTACATCCCTGTTTTAAAGGCTCCACGCTTCATTTGCATTTTCGCTAAAATATAAAATTTCTCACGACTTAATCCACGTTAAATATGTAGCTGGATTGATTATTTAACAATTAATTAAAGATACATTATGGGAGATTAGTTAAAGAGCTGGTGTTATTACTATAATAGTTAAAAACTGGATAATGTAAAGGGAATTTGCTGAAAACCTCAGTCAAATTGATCCACCCTGAACCGAGTATTTAGCGATTGAATTTTGGGCCTATCCTCGATCATCATTACTAAAGTCGGTACGATAAAAAACCCCAACATAGTCTCGATTATCCATTTTTTGATTTAATCAGAAGCAGCAGACCGGGTTCTAATCCAGTAAATATCGCAACGTAGCGATGCCATCGAGAGTTTATTATGGTCGGGATAAGTTAATTAATGTCTAATTAATAATTTAGATAACATTGCAGGCCTGAAGAAAGACCCGCAATTGGCAGATTTAGCTCTTGTATAATGTATGTTTAAGAAAACAAAATCAAAATATCAACGCTAGATAATATACCGACCGGGATTTTATCGAATTTAAAAAAGGTCCGCCAATCAATGATGGCGGCGTCTTGTTAGGAGCAGTATAGATCAATGATATTTCAGTTTATCATAACTTTAAAAATACTGAGCGGACTTTTTCGGCTTGCATTCCTGTTAGAGATTAAAGTTTCATACTACTGTAGTTTGCAAGGGATTACTATCATCGATACTTTAAATATAACATCAATATATATATCTGGTCCTAG